CCGGCGGTCGGAGGGTAGCTGAACCGTATCCTGATGACGAGAGCGGGTTCTGATTCTGAGCCACATTGCGGCGGGGGGGAATGGGCATAGTCATCGCTGACTGAGCTGCCGGGTGTTGTGTAGCTCGACAGGGACGAGAAGTATGCGGCTCTGCCAGATTGCTATTGTAGCAGGACGATCGGAACGCAATGGTTCGTGTTGATGGACATTGTTCGTGTTGTCAATTCCACTTCCCTGCTGCCTGATGGTCAGTGAATACTTCTAGGCAATACGATGGTATACGCAATCTCTGGCTGCGCAGCCTCAATGTCCCGTGAAAGTGTATATGAGCTGGAGGCAAACTCCAGCCTCATGTTGCCCCCAGCTGAACTCAGCTGGACAAGTTGTCGGTCAAGGTACGTACCGTCCTGATTTTCCCGTGAGGAATCCCACGTCCATATCGTATGCTACCCAGGCATGACTTGTCTTCAGTATGAAGCCATATCAAAAGTTTCCCCAGCCATGTATGTGGTCCATGTGGTCCGCGGCTTGGTATTGTTGTTGTTGCGTCCACTGGTCGGAAGGCGCTGAATTCACGGTCTACAGCGCTGTTGTGCCTTGCCATGCTCCAAGCCTTTCGGTTGGGTACGAAATGCTTGGATTTGACCAATGGGAACCCGCCAATTCGGATAGGGAATACCGAATCGGGAAGGATACAGTGTATAGGCGCTAAACAGCACGTTGCAACGACGGCGGGGATGCCTCTATATCCGCATCGTCAAGCGCCGCTTCCACGCAGCGGGATGTAGCTTGGAGGCGAGGTATCGAAGTGGGAGCGGTGTCCCTAACAGATATTAGAGATGGTTTGATCCAATTATCCATTTTTATCCCCAAACACCTGACGGACCGTATTGCGTGTCTCGGTGGAGGTTGAGTAGTGAAGATGCTTGGATGGTTACGTGGGCATTCGCAGAAAGGAGATTTGGTGTTGGACGAGGATCCGTGGAGGTGACCCTGGAGATGGCGGGGACGGGCCCTGTAATTTGGTGGATACCCCACTGTGGTAGACTGGAAGAACTGTCGAAGGGTCAGCAGGCAACGACATCATTCTCCGTCCGTCATTTGGACCACGAGTCTTCAATGTCAGCAATTTGTGGGACATTCACGTTACCGGATCCTGGTCGAGCTGGACTTTGGGTGAAGGGTCGGCTTTTGGTCCTTCTCGGTGACGACGAACATGTGTCGCAGCAAATCGCAGTCACGGGTTTGGAACTGGGGAGAGAGGAGTGTTTGATGGCATGGCAAGCAGAATACAACGTATTTAGTATCCAATGGTATCAAGGTACCAAACAAGACATCAGGCACGGATGTAGTCAAGACGTGTCTCATAGGGCTGAAGGATGGTGAAGAGGGTGTCGAGCCGTTGCCAGAACTTGGATCGTCGGAACCACGAAAAGAAAGGAAAAAGGGGGACACGGGTAGGTAAAATCAGGATTCGTACCCGACCGAAGCGACCCGGCCGTCTGCAGGGTAAGCGACATAGACGAGCGCCAAGGTCAGCATCTGATAGCATCATGTTTTCGCTGTTGTTGGCTCGGGTGCCGCGGGGTCTCGATGTGGTGAACTGTCACTTGTGAATTGAAATGTGACTTTAGCAAGCACCGACAAAGGTAGCCAACCTAATGACATCGGTTGATTAGAATAATTGAAGTTGAGAATGATCGGTGAGAAGACGTGGAGATCTTGGACACCTCCACGTAAGCTGTTTGAGATGGAAGGAGCGCCTGGGAGGGCTGCAGGCGGAATGGCGCAATGTGGGTGGGGCACATTGACCGTTACGGGGGCGCTTTTAACCCGCAAGAAAAAGCAAAGCAGGCACCACCACCACCTTACCAAGAGACGAACCACCAGCTCCAGTCATGACGACCACAGCAAACATTGTGTACCTGTCTCCCGATCGTTCTTGTTGTTCAAAGTAACGTCAGACCGCTTGTTTGATGTCCAAAGATACACTCTATGGTGGCGACTTTTGTTCCCAGATTGTGCGGCTGGAATACGTTGTTCAGCTGCCAAGTCAAAGGCCTCCCACGGATGCTTCCGACCTGAAAGGAGATCTACACCACTGACACGCGGAAGCACGGTACCTGAAAATGCCGGCGGGGGCCGTTCTTCTTAAATCAAGATCAGTTTGAAGATGAAATACGACATGTGATTGACGAAAGCCCTCTATGAGCCTCATCAGAGCAGCTGAAAGTTGGTTCTTTCAGTAGCGGAAGGGTCAAGACCAGCCCTTTTATTTTCTGTCTCCTCTACGCTACCTACCTAGGTACCTTGACCAATTACATTCTGTATACCAATTTGAGGAGGAGCAACGATGTGGCTCAGGTCCAACCTCTACTCGACCAGCTCACCGCCGGCCGCCTGACGAGAAACAACACGATGATCACGAGTGTCCGAGTGTGGTGGTGGCTCATAGGAAGGAGCATCCGTGGGCTAATTAGCCCCACTGAGGTTAGGAAAGAGCCCCTCTTTTTTGTTTTCAATCGGGCCCGGGCCCCACCGAGGTCGGACCGTCTCCTCCCACTTCTCACTTCTGCCTGCAGTCGGTGTTCAGTGGCTTCCTTCCACATGAATCCTCAAGAACACCAAACCAAGATCCCAACCATTCAAGCTTGGCAAATCCAAGATCACATCGTCCGCTTTTCCCTTTCCATTGGGTCCTTCAACTTCCAATCCATTGTCGTAATCGCAAAGATCCCTCTTCACAGCCCTGCTAGACACGACCATCCGAGCTGAACCAACGACCTCACGGCAATTGATCAGCCGCCACGCGCCTGTCCAAGATGATACTTTGCATTCCTTCTGTACGAACGATGACCCAGTCCCTCCTCGCGTTACGTCTCCTTGAGTTGTAGTAGCGCCTTTTAAGGCCCCCGACCCAACCACCGCTCCCAGAACTTCATCCGAGCCGTTTCGCGTACCGCAGATGGTAACAAGGCACCACAGGGCTGCATGACCAAAAACAGTCCATGTATCATCACTGGCTGTCGTACTCGAATCTCCCGTCTTACTCCATCCTGCCACATCCACTGTACGCAAAGATCGGTTGGCGTCTAGTGCCCTGTCTCTTACCAACAAACTGGTTGTACATTAGTGTGGCCGCCGACCCAGTGACCCACGCGCTTCGGAGTCAGCAAGGCGAATCGGCCCAAGTACCCATCAGTCGATAACAAGGTCTCACGAGGGGACAACACATGCAACAACCAATGCCAATCTGGGAACACTGAATGGGCGTGTCAAATGTGCTACTGCAGACAGACGTCTGTGGCGGCTCATAGGGCTACCAAGACAGGGGATTGGTGCACTGGACACAGTGATGTTCAGGCGCTGTACTGTCACTACAGCTGAACCGCTGTTCGGTGGGTTCCATCAACACCAAACTGTCGCTGAACACGCACTGTTACGGTGCCATCAAGGCTTGACAATCGGCAACCTAATGAAACCCCCGCATTTTTTGGATACGGTCCAATGCTGGTTTGATGGTTGGCTCGAGACCTCGGGTCAACTTGCCGAGGCGTTTTCATACTATGAGTAAACTCTTCCAGGATTCAAATACACCGTATTGGTGCCTTTCGGATTCGTACCTGGCCATTCATTGAGTCCTGGAAAGATTTGGGACATCTCGTCCAGCGTACCAGGAGTACCAAGCTGACAGATAAACCAGCATTAGGTTTATTCCACCTGGTCTTCTAGTCAAGCGAAGCACCAAGCGATCCCTGGTCGTCAAGCCCTGTCTGGCCTCGGCATAGAGTCGCTTCCATTATCACCCACAATCGTTAGGGCTGAACTCCACAGCAGGACCCAATGAAGCATGGGACATGCCGGACAAGCTGGAATGACGATGGGCCACATCTCTCGGAACTTTGACCTCGCAAGGTCTGGTCCAATCACGCTACTTCGTCCTCAGATCCCCTTGCATGGATTGTTCACATGAAGCCCAGGTGCTTAACCTATGCCAGAGTCTCTTGAGCAAGCGACAAAGGGCTGATAGGGCTGGGAGAATTTGCCGCCCATCACAGAAGGACGCCTGCTTGCCGCGTACCACAAAGTTGCAAAAGCCGGCTAGTCGACATATCACGGCCTGTCTGCTCGTCTCGCCAGATAGCTCATGCACGTCTCTTCGCCTTAACCACCGACTCGCCCAAAGCCCGAGACACGGTCGAAATCGGAGGTTTGAGTTTGGCCGCCCGTTGCCTCGACCCTTGTCCTATCCAAGGAACCTCGAGGATGCTGACCATCCTCCGATGCCTAATTAACCCTTCTTCGTTAGTGCGATCCAGCCCCTGCTGAGATGAGATGCCCCTCGTTTCCGACCCATGTTTTCTCTTCAGACATTACTCTTTTTCCGGAGAGTATTCCTTTGGCGTTACACCTCCACGCACTTTCCATGACATTCCTCCCAGGTGCAAACTTGCAGGGATTCCCTGTCCGTCAGAAAAAGGACTGAGGCAAGCACAAGCATGCCAAACCTTATAAGACGCCATGATCACCCGTCAACTCAATTTTCAAGTCCTCATCTTTCGGTCTCCTGTTCGTTTCGAGTCTTCTCCAGCCTGCCTTTGAGCTCCAGTACGGGCTTTGGATATGAGTGGAAGCCCGTCTCGTCCTACTGGCACACGTTATCTCCTCTGTCTTTCTCGGATTCCTCCAGCTCGTCCCTACAAAGATATCCACTGTGATCCTGGGTATAGGAGGACCTAGGTTGTGGTGTTCCGGTTCAGAAAGGCGGCAGTTTCTTCTTGGACAGCGCACCAATAGGTACGTGGTTGTCAAAACGGCTTTGGGCAGCTCAAGATGGATTGCTAACAGCGGTATCTAGGCTAGGTGGACGTCTTACATGTACCTGGCGCATTCACGGTAGGCGGCAGCTAGCCAACCATCGAGTCTGAACTACAGTGTGCATAGCTGCGCTTACATCGGGTAATCCTTCGAAGTGTCTGTCAATAAGAGACACTGTAGGCATGCCCACCATCAATCTCCCTGCTGGTAGTAGCACGCAGTTGGAGCCACGTCCTGCGCATCAGCATCATCTGCGATTCCTTGCTGTCCATGCATATTTGGGCATTGCTGTCACTCTGATCATCGTCACCATTTGGTGTGTCAACCCCCGACGAAGATCATCAACATCCAGTTCGGCGAATTGCGGGAGCCAACCAGAGGTCAAGGAAATCAAGGCATCATCGGGTCGTGTAAAGCTGGTTAGGACAGAGCTCACGGAAGGATCACATCCAAAGAGGTTCAGTCAAAACCTAGTCCTCGCCACGCCCACCTCGATGCACAAACTGTCACATTCACTTTCAAGTGCATACACCAAAGTCCCGCACCCGTCTAGGCATCCACAGACAATGGATGGCGATCAGAACAATCAACACAGCCATCGAAGTGATCCCGAAGCTACAGCATCACGTGGCACCAGCCAGAAGCCCATGTCATCCTCAAGTTCAAGTTCGAGTTCTACTCTCGATCAGCTTCACGGACATATGCCACCTTCCAAGACCTTTACCAGTAGCGATGGAACAACCAGCCCAGGTTTAACGAGTAGGGAAGGGGGGAGGGGACCAAAACATCTGCATACAGAATCCCGTCAGATCGATGGGTTCGGGATATCAACTGCTCAGAGGGAAAATAACGAATTGCACGGTGTGTCTGTTGGTGAGCCTAGACTACACTTTACAACGCCTCCACCTCCACCACCTTTGACACCGCCAACCCTGGACAAGACGGCCTTTGCCTTTCAGCACCGTCAGCCCACATCTGTGGTATTAATTCCACCAGGGTTGGACGGAAGCTTTATCCATCAGCCTGATCTGAACTACATCGGTCACACCTCGTCTTTTGACATCCCCAGCTCGATTCCTGCCGATGCGGCGGCGATACCGCGTCGAAGATCATACACAAAGAGTGTGCCAGTTGGTGTACCTATACCCAGCAGCAGCTCTTCTTTATCAAGGGGAACTACTGTAACATCTTCGTCAGCATTTCATCCATCCAGCGATCTGCCACCATCACCACTATTCCCGCGACCTCCACCAGTTTCCCAAGACTATCAGTTCGTTGGAGGACATATGGAACATCGCGCGTCAGTCGGCAATCGGCACCAGAATGAGACCGAGGTTCATGGGGAAATCATCTCTGTTATCAATGACGATGGGCACGGTTGGCAACGACACACACAGGTGTATGGTGGGGGTGTCTGTCTCGCATGTCTGGGAAATGAAGGCGGATTCTATGGTCCAAATGTACCACTCGAGGATCGACGATATTAGCCCTTGTTCAAGGGCTCACCGGGAAGCCCACACCAAGGAAGTCCCTTTTAGGTTTTGGAGGTAACTCGAGCCTCAGCCGCCGTGCATTGCACTGCAGGCATCCAAGCACAAAGACAGCACACACACATGTATCCAGCGCTCGGTGGGGCAAGTCGCTTCCGGGTCTATGCTGCACCTCCCATAGGCTGAGTACGGTATGGACTGCATACAGGCGTTTGACGAAGTTCTTTGGGAACATCAGCATTATTGGTTCTCTTGTCTTATGCATTGTTATCTTGGTGGGGGAGTTCGCCCAACGATTCACAGCGCCATGGAGTGGGGGTTGTTTCGTTGTGTGGTAGTGTGGTAGAGGGTTCAAGAGGTGTGGTGAACGATGTTATGACCTGTTTCTTTGCAATAGATCTTTGTCTCCTTTCTCCCTTTTCCGCGCAAAAGGTCTTGGTTACAAGTTGGTGATGGTTCCTCAGTTCCAATCCTGTTCGCTATTCTTTGCGATACCCTTCTTCTTGTTACTATCCGGCTTTCAACGTCTAATTTCAGCCCTTCACTCACTATACCTTACTCCAGACAAAAGGAAGTTTTACCTCTCCAAGGGTATCTTCAAGTCCCACATGTTTAGTTGTCGATGCCGATAAGGCCTTGGTTGTATCATTCAATCCTCTATGCACCGCATCTTTTCCATGATTCCAGTCCCGGACTACTGCTTCTCGTTACCATGTCGGATGTCGATCCACTGCATCTTGTTTTTTTCTATTCAAGGTCTCAACCCAAATCACCCAGTCACACAAATTAGATAGACAAGGTGAGGCATTCTCCGCGAGCGAGTACAATGTAACCCTGTTGACAGTTGACTTGCCGATCAGTCTCAGCGCCCACGTGGGGTATGTACATGTAGTGTAAGCCCAAAACGTCAAACAGTCAGCCCTATGGAAAAGCCGCCCATTCTAAATGATGGCCATGTTGCATGCCCACATGTGATGGGACTTGTTTGTTCCTGTTCGGTGTGAGGACAAAATGGTACCTCCAAGATGGATTTTAGGGTTGAAGCTGGATGCCGAATACGGAATGCATCATGGATCTAACAGATGATGGGAACACTCCTCTTCCACCCCTTCCCCATCTATCATACCTGATGATACATGAGGCTTGTATCGGTGTAAAAAGAAAAGAAAAAAAAGAATTCCATCACAAATACTTCCTAGTTGTCGTCATTCATCCCTAGTTGAGGTATCAAAGCTCAAACTCCGAGAGCGTTCGGTCTCGGACTTATCAACCCTTCTGACATTATCTTACCCCTTTCCCCACATCACTCACATTCTTCCAGAAGCCCCGTGCAGATTATGCTATGCAGCTTACGCTCTCCCGCACGGGAAGTCGGGGACGGGGAGGATTGGAAGGAATTCTTGGTCAGACTGTCAGCCCAGCCCTGTGGATAAACCGATTAACCGAGGGAGGCATTCTGGAAATTGGAGAAGGAATGAAGGATTATGCACAATCTGCAGGGGGGTTATAGGTAGACAGAGGTATACCTAGTGTATATGACGTGTTGAACCATACGGCAGGGAGTGATCACGGTGAACGACATCATAGTAGTGAAAGTCTTTATTAATGAGAGAGGAGGAGGAGGGAAAAATGAAGAAGGAGAATAAAGTCCGATTTATATATAGGGTACCACGGGTACCTACCTACCTATATGTGGATCGTATCCACCTGTGCCAAGAGAATGCCAAGAGCTGGTGATAGCTCCAATCTGATACATTTTAAAGGATTACAGTACTGACATACCTACCTACCTACCTCTCGACACTGAAAAAAAGAAAGAAAGAAAAAAATAAAGGCGGGAAATAAAAATGGCAGATTTGGGTTGACACCACCGTCCGGCGTCCATGACTCGGGACATTACCTCGTAACGGTTGTAGCCCACTACCACAGCAATGCGAAGAAGTGCGGTTACTAGTACCTACCGTACGAACGGAACGGGTGCCACCATCTTGGAAAGGACTGAATGCAACAGTGATCCACCAACTTGCCGACGGAGAGATAAAACTTCAATCCGTCGATTCCTTAAGGAACGGAGTCTAGCCGGAAAGGGATTGCAACTTGGTCAGTTGTTGACTACCTATACCCGGTAACGCGCAAGAATTACCAGACCAGCATGGATCACGCACACCACACACCACACAGCCTGCCGAAGGCATTGCACTAACAGCGGACGGACGTAAGGGGGGCGGTAAAGGCGGCGGCAAAGGCGGACTGCGGACCGAATTGCGGACTGCGATTTGTAGAAAGAACGGGCGGAGCTAGGTACCTAGGTAAGCTACCAAGGATCGATGTCGATATTTTAAACCCGAGGTACCGAGTGTCAAAGATTTACCTGGGGTATCTACCAATTCGTACCTACGGGAGAACAAGGAAAAGGGACACAAGTATGTGCAGTGGAAGCGGTACAGGTACCTCTACCTACCTAGGTAAGGTACCTTGATTATTTGAGAATTAGGTACCTAGGTAGGCTTGTGTGTTGGGGTTTTGTGTCCTTTATCGTGATTTTGCCGCCGATACCTACACTTGTATAGTTCGATATCTCTGCCTACTGTTGATTTACACCGTCGAAATTCCAAGTGAGCTAGGTACCTGGTAGGGTAGGTCACTACCTACCTACTGCTAGAGGGAACGGGTACCTCCAGACGGCCGACAATAAACACCGTGCGGTCCTCTGCTGCCGACCAAGGTGATAAGGTAGGTAAGTTGAGATAGATATAGGGACCTTCAAGTAAAAGAATTGCACAGACTTTTGCTAGGTACCTAGACGAGTGCACAGGAATACCGTTAAGATTGAGGCCATGAACAGAACACAACACAATACAATACAAAACAAGTATGTACACAAATATGAACCCAGTACGCCTTTTGTGTATCGCTTGTAGAGCCTAAGGCTATACCTCACCTGTGATATTTGTGGTATTGCCCTTGCTCTATCTCCCTGAGCGTCCCTTACGCTCATTTTCCTTTTCTCTCCGCCAATTCAATACCGACGTACCATCTACACCGTTCCTTTTTACCATCCATGCCACAACAGCCCGTTTCAAGTTTGAAGAAGCAAAAGCTAGAGTCAAGAGTACCTATGAACCAACAGCAAGATCGATCCAACCAGCCAACCACCCATGAACCTTGCGTGCAAACGAAACCACTAAAAGCCAATGATGGGAAGCAAGAAAGTGAACCCCTGACAAGGGGCCAAAAAAACACACCACAAGTTTTCTAATCCCTAAACCAACTCTTAATAGGAGGCAACCTAGGCAAAACTTGACCCTCCTCCTCTCCATCCACTTCTTCTTCTTCTTCATATTCTTCCTCCTCCTTCACTTGCGGGAGTAGCTCCGCATATCCACTTTCTCCTGCGATCCATCTTTTGCCGCTCCCGTTTCTTCCCGAGTCACCATGCCACACCAGACTTGCGATGCCTCCCTCTACCTCATGCATCGTACATCCCTGACTTGTCAAACCGGAATCCGTCTGCATCATACCATATCCGTATCCATATCCATCATATCCCCACTGCGGGACGTGCGGTCCCTGCGGTCCCTGCCACCACCCCCCAGCCAGATTCATCGCGTCCACGTTCTAAACAGCCGCGATTTCTTGGATTCGTTCCGTTCTTTCCGCTCCAGCTCGACCATTAATCTCCCTTTCCCCATCCACATGGGCGGCAGTGGTCCTACTCCCTCTCCTCGACATGTCTCCATCTCCATTCCCACCCCTCAGCGCAGGCAACACGCTCTCCCTCCTCCCATTACTTGATTGACCTCCTGCGCCGGAACCGTCAGCAGCATTCCCCCCACCGCCGCCGCCCACGGCACCAGCAGGCAAGTCAGTAACACTCTCATCCTCCTGCTCCATCAACTTGATCATCTCCTCCAGGTTTTCCTCCAGGTTCTCTTGCTCATCCGGCGGCAGACACGACATGAGGAGGTGCTTGTACTTGTCGATGCGCTCGCCTGTGCCTAGCATGCCACGGGCTTCGACGTAGTCGTTTTCTGCTGAGCGTTGTTCTTGGAGAATGGAGCGCAGCTCGGCAGCGAGAGAGAGACGGTGGGTGTAGTCGTCTTCCTCTTCTTCCTGGTCTTGGTCTTCGACTTCGGTGTCTTGGGAAGAGGGGCCTGGTTGTTGTTGATGTTGTTGTGCTGCGGCGGGGGGTTCTGGGTGTTCGGCCTCGGACTCGGTTTCGTTTTCGTCCTTGGGCGGTTTGTCCTTTTGGTCTGGTGTGGGGGAGAGTTTGGGTTTCTTGGATGGAGATGATGACTTTGATTTGGTCGAGGTGCCGTTCGTGACTGCATTTGCACGGTCCAGTGCGGCCAACTCTTGCTTCACGGCCTCCTGCACGGATATACGGTTCTGGTGCGTCACGAACGCCAACACCTTATGTCGCGCCGTGGCCATCTCCGCGGCCGTCTTGGCGGCTACGTCGTCCGTGTCGAGGCGGGAGTTGTAGTCGTCGATGGAGGCGGTGAGGGCTTTGAACTCGGACTGGGTCTTGTTGAGAATGCGCCGGGCTTCCTTTTCGGCATCGTCTTTCTCCTTGAACTCACTGTCATAGGTGGCGGTGAGGTCCTTGAGCTTTTGGAGGACCAAGGGCGTGATGCGATTTTGCACCGTGTTGGCCGCGTCGCTGCTGTAGTTCGGCTGTGAGTTCTTGCGGCTCGCGACCATGGACTCGGAGATGGCTTCATGGAAGGCATCATGGCGTTGGGTATCGGGAGCAAACGGGCTGGAGGACCGTTGCGGGAGGTTGGAGCGGGATTTGGAGATGGAAGCATTGAGCTCTTTTATCAGCTCTTCGGCACGTATGCCTTGCTTGTTCGGGATGTCGGTGCTGGCACCACGGCCGAGGAGGGCCCTGATACATTTTCGGGCATCGCGCATGGCGGCGAGGTGGACAGCCGTGTTACCATCGTTGTCCTGGGCGTCTAGAAGCTGTTGTACGAACTCGGGGTGGTGTGTCTCCTGCAGCCTATTAAGGATGATGTCTAGGTAGTACCGCGAGCACGACTGGCTGTTGACACGCCCAATCTTCATGACAGCAGCGTGGTGTATAACTGTGCAACCTGACAGATCCCGGCAATCAAGTGTGGAGAAGAGCTCCTTCATAACCTGCGGAAAGGTCTGTTTCTCGAAGCAGTTGGTAAAGTTGACCGCTCGCATAAACGGTGTCTCTCCTCGTACATTTTGTGCGTCCAAGCTAGCTCCAAACTTCTTCAACTGCCTCATGACATCGACATCGCCCATGGCAGAGGCCCAATGAAGACATGTGTGACGCTCGTTATCGATGGGCCAGTCGGGCTTGAAATTGGGAGGAGGGTCGGGTCGCACGGCCGGCTGCTCGTTTCTAGAGAGCAAAAAGTAGTCGAGTAGTTCGTCACCGTAGACTGCATGCTGCTGTTCCGTCATATCCTCTATCAACTCGTCTCGCTTCCGTTTCCTGTGCCCGGTCGAGAAGTGTGAATGATCGTAGCGGTCGTCCTCGGCCATGTAGGAGGCCGAGGCCACAGTAAGGTTGTCGGGGGTATCGTCGTCGTGCATGTGCGTATCGGCATCGTTGTAGTCTGGGGCTTGTGCAGGAAGACCTTTGCGACCGGGTGGTAAGAAGGTGCCAGGCTGAGGAGGGTTGGCGTTCTTTGCCGACTTACTGCCCCATGTCGGAACAGCAGGCTTGACCTTGGGGGCCTTTGGCTTGCTGGCGTGTCTAGGTGCAGGAGGAGGGCTTTCGTTGCCCGGTTGAAACTCGAAGATGGGTTTTAGCCGTTCGTAGATGTTATTGCGGCGAGCGAGGGCTTCGGCCTGTTCGAGAGGGATCCAGGTGCCTGGCGAGAGGGAATATTAGCAATTGGTGGGAGGTTCACAGAGACTTTTTGACATCATGTTCGCACCCTGGTATCTCCCGTATCCGCCTTGAATCTTCTCGTGGGTGTCTTTTTGTACCTCGCGCTCCAAGATTCTCGTTCGGGCGGGCTTGTCGAAGCCGGCAGCCTTGAGGATGTGTGTAGCGTTGACCCAATCATCGTGGCGACGGCGCATTACATGCTCCTTGAGATCGACACCAAACTGATACTCCCATACTGGAATCTGCAAATCATGACGGCATACGGTTAGCAACATGGTGCGCCAAACGAGCGACGAGGAGGGGACCACGGAGAGAGGTAGAGAGAGACGTACACCGCTATAGGTTGCGCTATAGATTCCCGGTTCGGGGTTTCCCCCGACATTCTCCTTGACCATATCTGAGTTTGATTGATGTCAATGGACAGGCGCAGGGCAGATGTCCCCCGCGATAGGGAGGAAGCTAGAATCGCTACGGGTTGAGCAAAACGTGAGTGGGCTGATGGACTACCAGAAGTCGGCTGCTAATTGATTATGGCTACCGCAAGTAGGGCAGGTAGCAAATATGGAATGCTGTATCTGATCACTGCCTCGTTCAAGCTATCAGAACTCTTCCTCGTCGTGGTGGTTGGCTAGAGGGTTGGAGGTGGAAATCGAGGCACGAAAAGGACGCGGTGATTGCGGGCGGGCGACGCGGTTGACGCGAATCCAGTTAAAGTGCCTGGGTGCCAAGCCCGCAATTCAGTTGAGTTCACGTGACAAAGCGGAGAAGCCAAAGTCAAAGCGCTGAGCAAACGAGGCCTTGGAAGCGTATTTGGACATGACTAACATCTTCCCTGCAGAATTACACGTTATTGTGATAGTGCAACTCTCAAGCGATGCATGACGGAGTTACGAACAGAGCTAGTCTGGCTCATCATCCCAATCATCAACTTCCACAACAAAGCGCAAACAGGTGAAGGCACCTTCACTGCTTTCATGAGACATGGAATTGCGGACACTCCAAGGCCAGCGGAGTCAAAGACGTGCTACGAGCGGCGCATCGTCATCAACTCGTTGCTTGGCCACTGACAACTGCTGTGCAGCATAGCAGCAATGCCTTCTTTATCGAAATCATTGTTTTCCTGCCTTTTATTATTATTTTACTTTGCATCTTGCGGACTTCCGGCTTGTGTAAAATCTAGTGATGTTTTTAACAGCAACATCTCACTCCCCTCTCCATCAAAATTCCCGTGATGATATGGACACAACGACTTCACTTCATAGCGTCGGCTGACATATCTTACATAGCTAATCACCGGTAGATGTAACTTGACCTCTCCAAGTTTTTCGTAGTTGGCATTGCAATTCTTGCGTTGTGTACAGATTTGACTTGGGATCATGAGGTGCATTTTAATACTGTAATGCCATGAGGAACATGTCGAGAGGTGATGAGGCGGTATCCCTCTCCTACAACAAAGGAAAAAAACAAAATGTCATACCTACTGCTGCATTGGATGTTGTCATCCCGATTTGGGTCTTGCAGTGTCTTCTTCGGCCGAAGCGGGTGATTTTACCTGCCTGCCACTCATCGCCCCCTCCGAAGATATTCGCAAGTCCGATGTTTTGTGCATGCCGCCGCTTGAAGCTACGTAGACACTCTCTCACTCGACGGCCTTCGAGCTGCGAACATCATCAACCACCCGCAGGGCTGTTTATCACGCAGTTAGAGATCATGAAAATGTAGTGTCTCTGGTCCGGACATGCCTCCACATGAGGCTTTGCCACCGAGAGGAGCCTTGGCCGGTTGGAAAGATGCAAGACATGAAGGACAGATATCAGCACACGTTCCCAGAGCCCAGGATACATACTTATTCCCATTCTCCCCCTCCTTTCAGCTCTTCCCTTTTTCTCCTCTCCAACCCAACCTCCAAGGTCTTCTCGGAACTTTTCAACAACAAAAGCCTTCCTCCAAGTTTATCACCATGTCTGATACATGTACATGCACGTGTATATCCCTTGACGTCCCAATCGTTGGAGTCTTCTTATTTCTTTTCTTCGCCCTCCCCGTTCTGGCCCTCCACGCCAAGAACCTTGGAGTGGTGTTATTTCCAATCACGGGCGGCATTCTTCTTGGGTTGCTCATCTTTTTTGTTGTTCCGTTCCTCGAAAACCAGGTCTTGTTGTTTCCCATGTTGGGCACCATCGGTCTCCTTTTCTTCATTCTGCCTTGTATTCACGGGGCTTGCTCGGAAGAAAAGCCAGGCGCGTCCAAAGCATAATGGACTCTCAAGGGTACGTAGGCCCTCACCCCCCTTAGTGACCAACGACAGGAACACCTAGACAGAAACCTTTCTTGTTTCCCAGATACTGAAGAAATTGATCTAGTTCCCCCTTAGCCAATAAACGTCGTATTGACCAAGATGACATTTCTGACAAGCCCGCTGGAGTTCCCACAAGCAATGATGGCAACGAACCAACCGCCCCCATCCCCTCAAAAAAGAAGAAGTCAGTGAAGTTCTTACTCCCAGCAACCGAACGACCGCCCCCGCCGAATCGAACACACGACTCCTCGACAACTGAGGGCAAAAAGGCGTTGCGTTTTCTGCTGGACAATGGGGCTCTCTGGCGCCCTAGCAATTAGAGGAGTGTGTTTAGGTTTGTATGAGATTGATGGATGACACGACGAATTTATATGCGGCAGGTTTAGAGAGGCTCCTCTGGTTTTCAATTTTCGCAATAGCAACAACAACAGCAACGCAGCCCAATCACGACAGGAAACATGCCTTCTTTTGGTCATCAGTACTTCTAGCTAGCGAGATTTCTCATCTCGGGCCTTACGCCCCCTTTTCTTATCAATATCGATCACTATCTATCCCCATACATACCTTATCTCTTCGTGGACAAAATAATTGAGACCTTGACATTATGCCTTGGGTGTACTTCCACTATGCATCCAAGCGTTATTGTTACACGTCTGGTCTTGAGTTCTAGGCAACTCCCTGACAGAAATATCCATATAGGACGCTAGCCGATGTCTTTTCGAATTATTATAATCCATATCACAGTTTTGGAATGGCCGTTTTTTTCACTTTCTTTTAGTTTATATATATATTATACCTACATTTTGAGCGGTAGGGAACTGGTTTACCCAACCTGTTGGTTGGTCTCATCCATTTTGTCTCGGACGAGGGCGGGTGACGATGTTATCGATGCATTTACAAAATAATTGTTAGCGAGGTACCCGCTGTAAAACCCGGTGGTCCGCTGTAACCGCGCTATAGCCCCCCACTGCAGTCCCGTGCGTGGATCGTTTCAGCCCTGTGCAGGAACTGGCTTCCCACAAGATCTCAGATTCACGCATCTCATTGGCGAGCTGGCTAGATCCCCCACGTTTCAGTTGGCAAGGAGGCGCACATGCCGCCGTCGTTTCCCGCATTTCGTCCTCTTCCCCTTCCATCTTCCCGAACCCTGATTTCATCTCCATCTGTACAACCACCACCCTCGGTCATTTTGGACAGTCAGCTGTCCCAACTTTCTCCTTGGCTCCTTTCTTCGGATGATTTGTATATTCACTGTCGCCTTTATTTAAATAGAATCTGGAGGGCCATCTGCTCTTTCTCATTGACGCGCTCTCGCTGCTTTCGCCGTCCCTTTTGCTCGTCGCTTCGCTATTAGAATACTCTTTACCCTCCACCGTCGCCATCAAGAAAACATCGCGAACCACCACTCGGAACCGGTACCCGATTGCGACCTCGAATTCCATCACAACACCATCCAATGCGCCATCGCCCCTCGACATTAACGTCCCGACCGTCACCCAACCATGGCGCCCGACACGCACTCCTCCCACTCCCTTCTCGACCCCTCCTCTCTTCCGCACGCCAACTCCAACGATGACCGCGGCCGCCGACGTACCCCCTCCCCCTACCATCCCGTTCTCTACGACTCTGAGTCCAACTTCGACCCCTCAGCCGCCGACCCCTCCCCTTTCTCCTCCTCCGGTCGACCCTCCAACCCCCGCCGCACAACCTCCACCTCCCTTCGCTCCATCACGCCCGTCCCCCTCGCAGCGCAAGCCCTCCACCTCGACACCACGCTCCGCTACCGTCTAGCCGCCTTCTTCCTACTCGTCTCGCTCGTAACATTCACCGTCCAAACGGAGCTCGCTTCCATCGTCCAACACGATCTAGGATGGGACAAGGCCTACTGCATGCTCTACCTGACCCACGGCTCCTGGGTTTTCCTGTTTCCTTTACAACTAGTGGTCCTAAGGTTACTAAAGCGGGAAATGCCCTGGCGTCCCTTTTGGCGGCAAGTGTTATGGGAAGTTCGCGTGGTCGGGTCCATGGTGGAACAACAAAAGCTGGATGTACAAACCCCGAGAAGAAGAGGGAGATCAAGAGGAGGCCACCAACAACAACCAACTTCACCATGGCGGTACCTAGCCTTCACCACAGCGGGCGTCACATGCGCGCTTACCGTCGCTGGACTAAGTTGGTATCTGGCCGTCAGCATGACGACCCCGTCGGACTTGACGGCCATTTACAACTGCAGTGCCTTTTTTGCATACGCTTTTAGTATCCCGCTGCTTAAGGAAAGATTGCACATGGGCAAGATCGTCGCGGTGGCCATTGCGATTCTCGGTGTTTTGATCGTTGCTTACGGCGACGGTAATCCCGATTCGGGCGCAGGCGAGATTAATGGCGGCACCCGCTTCCTAGGCAACATAATCATCGGCATCGGATCCGTGCTCTACGGCCTGTACGAAGTCCTCTACAAGCGCTTCGCATGTCCGCCAGAAGGCACATCAGCCTTCCGAAGCGTTACGTTCGCGAATACCTTTGGGAGCATGATCGGGATGTTTACTGTCTTTGTGCTGTGGATTCCTATCCCCATCTTGCACTGGACGGGGATCGAACCCTTTGAAGTCCCGACGGGCAGGGCGGCGTGGTTGTTGTTCTGGAGTATTGTCATGAACATGAGCTTTGCAGGGAGCTTTCTGGTGTTGATTTCGTTGACGAGCCCCGTGTTCAGCTCGGTGGCGAGCCTGTTGACGATTTTCATTGTGGCCATGTCGGATTGGTTCATGACGGGCAAGCCGCTGAGTGGGGCGTCGATGCTGGGTGGGGTGTTTATTATGATGGCGTTTGGCCTGTTGAGTTGGTCGACGTGGAAGGAGATGGAGGAGGAGGAGGCGAGGAGGAGAAGGGTGGTTGCCGCCGGTGGTGGTGGGGAGGAGGAGGTGGAGGATAGTGAGAGTGATAAGGATGAGGTTTAGGCGGGCTTGGTGGATTGCCCGTTGGGTTTCGTTTCTTTTTCTTGTCTTCTGGCGTCTTCTGTTTTCTTTTGTGGCTGTTTCTTTGGACAGACAGGACATAACCGTCTTACGATAGAGGTGGCCTAGTACAGGCCGTATCAAGAGGGTAGGGTGCTTGATCTTGGCTATGCATTTAGAGCACTACATGGCATTTAGAAGGTTATTATCTCTCGCATATTAGGCACGCGTCAAATACACTAGTCTATACCCTAGATGACTCGGTATATTGACAGCCTTGGCAATTCTTCTTTTCTAATCGACTTTTCCTTTCCCTTATACTCATCGTGATACGATCAACACAATATCGCCCTGGATACCGTGCCCTCAGTGGGCCGCTGGGTTACGACTTCCCTCCGAGTTTCGACCACATCCGCATATGTTGTCTCGGTCTTGGCACGGAGGGTATCTCGGCCTTGCCCCATCTTTTCCGCTATCTCAGCCCGGTATAAGATATCAATTTTGCGCTGTTGGGGCTAAATACCAGTATCATCAATGAGACCTGGCTGGTAACGACTGACTGGCATTGAGGTCTACGACAAAATTGAATCACGTCGGTTCTTCCTCCAGTTGATGTCCAAAGCCCCCGGTGCCGTCATTCGACTTTGCCCTCTGCTCCGAGACTTCGACCTCTTCAGCCGGCCCCAATCCCTTCCTACCGAAATCTCTTACCCGGCACCTCTTTTGTCTCCGAACCTCTCTGGCTTTCTATTGAGCAATTCGAACTCACCCACCGAAGCGAGTACCGTCTGCCCTCCAACATTACCCATCTCTCTCTTATTGAACACTCCTGTAGCGAAATATACCCCGGCTTCTCGACAAGGTTGTAAGTGCCGATCAATAGCTTGGTGAGAACCATGGCCTGAAAACCCGCGTTTTGAACGGGCTGGGCCACGTCCCTGAGTCATTCGAATGGACTTCTTGGAATTGAAGTACCAATTTCCTAGAGTGTGAATACTCACTCCAAGAACGGGCGGTCAGAGGTGCAAAGGGGAATTTCTTGGCATGTCCTTCTTGATGAGTACCTTGATGGGCAGCGCAGAGAGAATTAAAGTGGTGGTACCTGGAAGAGAAGGGATCAAGTTTCCTTTTCGATAAGGTGACGATGGGGATCAGGACCGTGGTAGTGAGAGAGATGTTGAAGCCATCACCAGTTTTTTTTGGCATTCTCTTGGCACTAGTGGATACGATCCACATATGGCTAACCTATATACATGTATAAGTCGGATTTCATCCTCCTTCCCACTCTTTCTCTTCTTCTTTCAATCAATCAAGACTTTCACTACCACAATGTCGTTCCCCGTGATCACTCCCTTCCGTATGGTTCAGCAAGAGAGAAGAAAGCGGGGGATGGGAATGAGGAAGGTGCGGTGCAGAGAGCTGGGGTGTTGCATTAGTTCGGCTTCAAGGAAACTGTGATGCTTGATACACTCCTCCTTTTATGTCCCACGAAGGCAAGTTGGGCCTTCATGAAGTGTTGCCGTAGGGTTTCCTCCCTTGGACGGACGGAATCTTTCGAACCAAAGTCTTGTCGAGATACAGTGTCGTTCGGTGCTAAATTAGATTCTCAGGGCGTGTTCGTTTCGGGCAGTTCTACAGTATCGGAAGCACTTTTTTTGGTGGCAGAAAAGCTTTGGGTTAGGGTTAGAGGAGATTCCCTTGGTCTACTGTACTACTGCCAGAACGAACACGGCCTAATTAGCTTCCACTTTCTATTTCAGTTCAATCACCTCGTCTCCTTCCTAGGTACCATTTTTATTAACCTTTCCTCACTTTTACAACTACCCCGCCTTAGGTTGTTCACCCACACCTACTTTCCCACGAGCAAGTACCTCTAAGCTTGACAGAAGCTTCCGCGCCGTCGCGAATCCGATCTTCTAGCATTTTCCTTGCGACAACCCCTTCCAGTTCTCCAAATCCAAAGGTCACCACAATCAGGCGCTGCGATTTTCCGCTGCGCAGGTGGTAGACGACCACGCAAGGACAGCCGGCTTCCTCCCCTAAAAGCCAGAAGGTATCATTCATGCCCTCCACTATTCACTGCCTAAGTGACGGCACCCAACCTGAAGACAAGCTGACCAGCTCAATCCACAGGTCCCCCTGGCCCCGACCGTTTGTTCCACGACGTGAAAGTGTGGAAAGATCCACTTACCTCCCTCGAAAGAATAGCCTCGGTAAATTCTTCACAGTTCCCGAGGATGGCGCCCATTCAGCGCCTTCCCTTCGAGCTCAAGGAGCAGATCGCTCGTGAGCTGAGCGACTTCGACCTGTACGACCAACGCAACTACCAGATCGACCCCTATGGCCACAGCTTCTTCAACGGACACACGTATGAGTGGCAGCCGTTACAGAAAGCAGGCGACAAGCCCCAACTGAGCTTTCAGCCAGTTTACGACGATCTGCGTGCGCTTTCCCTCGTTTCGAAAGACTTCCGGGACCCGGCGCAGCGCGCCCTTTTTGCTGTTGTTATTGTTGGGGACCCTACGGCATACTTCAAGCTCTTCCGAACTTTGCTAGAATCTCCCCAAGTTAGGTCCTACATACGGTGTCTCTTGGCCATTTCAGTTCGAAATCCTGATGCAGAGAAGCGACGTTCTGAGATAGAAACGTCCCGCTGGGCTGCTTTCGTCGACATACTCGGCGCCCTTGTTCTCTTTGGCCGGCATAATACTTACGACCTTCGGAACCACTATTACTTTTACGGACTCAGGTACCGGTTATACCCACGCGGCCTTCCTGTGGTCTTATCATCGGACCGCATAGCATCATACGAGCTTGAAAGCTGGAGGTTTTGCCGACTAGTCAGCGAGGTTTTGTATAGCATTCTTCAGCTATGCCAGTCGCTAAGAGCGTTTCATTTACACTGCAGTAATGGGTCTTGGGGGCAACAAGAAGATCCATGTACATTCTGGCCTCTTGATGGATGTTCCCTGTGGACAAAAGCGCTCAACAGCGACCCTTTTCTCAACACTCTAACAATTGACATTCGTGTTTTGGAAGCGTTTCATGGGTTCATGATCATGGACATTGATAAATGTCCACCGAACATTGAACATCTCACTATTGTTGGCTCAACAACCCATGAATTCCGCAACAACATGCCGGGTATGCACCATGTCTGCGGTTGGCTAAGCGCCGTTACCAGGCTGAAAACACTCCGAATTTGGTACGGGATTCGTAGTATTGCTTGCCCACCAGTCCATAACTGGAATAAGCTTCTTCTCAAGTTTAAATCCACCCTGGAGCAGCTTGTGGTGGATGGTGCTGGGACGCTGCTCCACTTGCGTCCCAATAACATCCTTGGCCGCCGGGTACTCCAGCAAGAGCGACTGTTTGGTCCAAGTCTTATGTTATCATGCCTGTCGAAGATGGAGAAGCTCAGATACTTGAGTGTTCCGATACAGTATCTCAGAAGATGCCCGGAGGGTATGGAGCCACTTGAGTTTTTGAGCATGCCTAACGAAGGCCAAGATGTTCGCCAGTTCGTGGAAGCAGATGTGAAGTTTCCGAAATCACTACAGAGAACTGAAATTATAATAGTACAGGAAGTAGAGGATGACTTAATCACAGAGGTCAAGGCTTTGAGGATCGATCTGGGCAAGGACGGTCACACAACTGGACAAATAGTATGATTGAAGGAAGGGCGTAGGAAGGGTATAGACGGATGGCACAAAGTAGCAGGCAGCTTTCGAATGCGATGGATCATAACTCACATAGACGACTCTGAATCATGCAGTTGGCTGTTGGCACTACGGGTATCTAGACGTGTAGTTCTTAGTAATTACTTCATGAGCTAACACTTCTCGTGGGGCGGGGCGGCAATGTATTTGCCCGCCGAGCCAAACCTTTCCAAAACGAAGGACGATGTTCGCTTGCCAACGAACATTGGAATGCATTACTGTATAGGCGGGACAACCATGTCACAGCGAAGGGTTTACCCTGTGACATCTCGTTCCTATGGAAGAAGTCACACGTTCTATGATAGGCACCCATATCGCTTTGCAAGGTGACGAGAAGCGACTGAAAACCTGTGATGTGGCTTGTAATCTGTCTCAAGAACGCTGATTTAAGGTGTATGCGGGACGTTTTGATTCAGAAAGTAGATGTGTAGAGTAGGAAGCGTGCATGCATTCAAGAGCATTCCGAAGGTGTGCTGTATCTGATCTTGAAGTGTCCGGGGGGTAAACCCTCTAGATGGAGCTGGAATAGAAGAAGGTGAGGACGCAACATCTCTGTCACAGGGTTTGCTCAACCGTAACATCGCTATATAAGCGTGCCTTAGATGTTCTGTCCAGCGAACAGAACAATCTTCCATCTTTTGGTGGTTTGGCCTAGAAGCATTGCACGCCTCTAGTCCGTGATAATCTCCGCTTTTTAGCCTCCTAGCTAATGAGAATATAAAATAATTTGTTTACCTAGTTGTTATGCTAAAGAACTGTTCAACGCTCAACATTTCTTCTCACCCACCCATACTACCTACTACCGAGCCTACTATAAAACTACCCTAACCAACTACTTTTCCTTAAAACTTTAGACTCAAAACAAAAACACAATTAATAAAAAAAGAAAGCTATATTTTAATAGGAATTGATTGTAGCTTTTACATCTGATGAGATGCAGCGCTGGAGATAAATTAAGTTGTCAAGTTCAAAATTAATAAATATGTCCATATTTGATTTGACTTACTGCCCGCCTGGTAGAATTCCCGGGTTAGGGTTAAAGCAGAAAAAGTCTTTCTCCTTCACTACTATCAGAACCCTAAGGTCCTATACACGGACCATGCAGGAAGCCACATCTCAAATTCAAATATTTAGCAAAATAATTGTAAATATTACCTGAAATAAAGACAATATTATATTTAACCTACTCGAATTAATACAGATCCATATCTATTTATGTTTAATTTGTTTCTAGCACTGGTTAGAAGTTGCCTGTTGTACTTGTTCACTCGAATTCTAAAGTAATTTTGTTACACCATTAACTACCTAAAAAACGAACGGATCACACCCTTAGTGTACCTGCTACTTACAATGGCAGGTGTTATCAGCTGGGCGGCCCGATATTTCTGGGTAGGGGTGCGACTTGCTCACTCGCGGTGCATGCGAGCTTTTTCGTGAGGGGAACGTTAAAATCTCTGCTTCGACCCCGATCAGTTCTCAACTGCAATAAAACAGTACCTCTAGACGTCAAAAACAACAACAACAACAACAACAACAACAACAACAACAACAACAACAACAACAACAACAACAACAACAACCTCGACCAGTTACCGAGTCGCAATCGAATTTCCCACCATGGCTCGCTTACATCAGCTCCCAACCGAGGTACGGGCGAGGATATGCGAGTTCATTGGCAACATTGCCGACGCCCCCTCCGACTACCAGCTCGATCCGCTCCAACAGGATGACCTCTTTCCGGAAGAGCTTCCCAAAGCCACCGTGTCTACATACTCATTAATCTACAAGGATCTAAGGTCATTGGCGCTTGCTTCCAAAGCTTTCACGGACTCAGCACAGCGCGTTTTGTTCAGGATTGCGGTAGTCGGCGATCCCAGCATGAGGTGTATCATGAGATTGCTGAAAAGCCTGCTTCTTTACCCTAAGAACCGGCGGTACGTTCGGTCTCTCTTCGTTACCCGCCATACCCATCCGGCCGCACGTGCTAGCGAAACTTTGGACCAGCTGAAGCAATTCCATCGGGAATTGCGTCCCCTTATCCTGACAGGAAAGATCGATGAACTTTATGACGCAAGCTTCTTCCGCGGATTTGAAGCCGGTGTTTCGCTTGGAGTGTACTACAATAAGGATGATTGGAGTACCATTGCGACCGAGTTTGTTTCGGGATTCATAACCAAAGTTGCGGACCATGTCTTGAGGGCGATCATTCAGTTCTGCCCCTTTCTAAGCGGATTTCATATGTGCCGCAATGATTGCGATTCGGCATCATTTCCCGATCAGACAACGGTACCGGCCAGCCTAGATGACGGCCCTTCCAATACTTTTCCGCAACTCAAATCTCTTACGCTCAACTACGATACCCTTCTAGATCAGATTAACTCTATAATCGCCAGGCCAAGATATCCTAGAGGGTGTCCTCCAAACATCGAACGGCTTACTCTAATAGACTTTCAGGGCTTTAGTCCAATCCCAATTTGCCTCAATTTTATTCACTCGTAGATTCGGAGTAACACATCACTGAAGGAGCTTCAGGTCATCAACGGATTCGACGATCGCCTAAATACCTTCTTCGATAACAGCATAACACGCAAGAGGAATAAGAATTGGAACACCATCCTCCCTCTCTTCAAAGACACTTTGGAACTTCTTATATTCGACGGGTACCATTCGATGCCCGTAGCCGGGAATCAAGAAGACCGTTTCGGCTCCCCGCGGATGCTATCTTGTTTGGGAGATTTTGAGAAGTTGGCCTACCTCAAGGTGCCATTGCACATGCTGCGGCAAGACTGCCCCAAACTTTGCGTGCCAAAAAAAGGACAGCAGGTCTTGGACCTCGTGCAGGCCAAACTCCCAAAGGGGTTGAAGAAGGTGGATATTGTAGTGTTCAAAGAGGATGAAAGTTGGAAGGTGGATCCCTGGCGCCCAATTTATAAGTCTATTGAACCTACCAAGACCTTCCAGGTTCGGCTTTAGATAAGGGTTCAGTTAGCTTGGTTGGTTTGGGACAGGAGGAACGATTTGTCCGGTAGGAGACCGGTTTCAAGGATCTTGGGGACTACCTCTGACATCGTCACTTTTTTTCCTGCCGTTTCGGCCTCTTCTGTCCAATACCTGAGACATGTGTCTTTACCTTCTCTTTTTTGAGGATTCGGCTGATTCATGGACCCTAGCCCCCTAGGTTTGTCGAAGTGGACTAGCGAAAGAAGCACAGTTGAAAGTCATTGGAGTCACACTCGCCTCAGAATGGAAAGACGGCCAAGAGGGTGAAAACTGCGGAGCTATACCCTAGTAGAAGTAGCATGCGCTGCTTAAAGGCACAGATCAGGACAAGCATAAAAGCAAATAAACACTCCAAGTTTGAACCACTAGTATCAACATATTGAGGTGATTACTGTATCTTGGATTTCTTCATACCAAGTAGATACGGTGCAAACATCGCTGCCCCCGCCTACATATATCACCAGATGTTGTCCTGCTCCCTGCAACCCTTATCTCTCCCCCTCCTTCTCTCTTCTACCAACTGCAGTATTTACTACACCTTTTGTTGCGTACCTATTCAAGGTCGCCGTCTCAAAGTCCACCGCTATTCTTATCCCCCAAGAACATGCCTCGGGGAGAATCTAGCTTTATTTTCTCCCTCGATAGTCATCTTATTGCTATTCACCCCCAAGAAACGACATCGCCCCGCCGCAGCCATAATCTAAGCACTGCTTCGATCGACCCGGGGCTCAACCATAGACCTTACCGGCTTTCTATCAGATATATCGCTATCAAGAGAGACACTAGGAAGAGGGAAACAACATAGATATGTAGGGTGGATTGGAATAGCGGTATTTAGTTTAGAATCGCGATTAGCAATAGAAGTAGTTACTTCTTTCGACTATAACAATTATAATTCTTTGCAACGGCAATATTTACCAAGTCACTATAGGCGCCCGGGCGACGCTAGATGGTCCTTGGTTCCTTTCCGTAAATAATTGAACCTAAGATAATTGCCGGCTGCGAATTAAATATATAGGGCGGCAAGAGCCGGCCGGGAGTAGGCCCGTTTATACTTTATAGTAATTTGCTCTCGCACCTTCCCCGGCCGAACCCCTTCACTAACCGAAAAGGTTCTATGTCGGGTCTGGTGTACTTTACTGCGTGGGCGACGGGTTTTTATTTAATTGTCCGGCCGTTGGCTGCCCCTCCTTCTAACTTTTTCCTCTCAATATATCCATCCGCCCACCTTAGATTTCCTCAAGGGGACGCAATATTAACCACAGAACTCCCTCCAACGACGCGCACTACAACGACGACGTTAAAGTTTAATCGAACATCACCCACTCGCCTTCTACTCACAGATTGAGCGGGAAACAGTTTGTGACACGACACCAACTGTCGCAGACAGCCACCCTTTTTCACTAGATAAACCGACAATTGTCGACTACTTTCCTCAACCCTGCGACGAATTTGCATTAACCCTGGACCATATCTTGTGCGTCATTGTGTAGACCTCTACGAGTGAACAGAATTACATTCTTCACATTTCACAAACTCGCCCCACCGACCGATTATCAACCCTTGAGCCATCGCAATCTACTCAAAAGTCGACCAGGTAGGTTCCTCCTTGCTTCTCGGTGATTCCTGTTTCGGAGCTGATCTTTTTTCTTCGGACTAGCTGAATATAAGAGCCAATACTCCAGAAATTGAAACCCCCATTTACTGCCGGCAATGGAGTCGAACACTCCATGTCAACAACGAACCCTGGAAGCACTTCCCCAGGAAGTGCTCGAGACGATTGCCGAGTTCTGCGGCGACGTCGCTAGCATCTCACCAAACGAACAGAGAGACACGTTCCTTCACGATGTCATTTATCCATACCTAGACTCGGCGACGTCGAACACCTGGCAGCCAGCGTACAGGGATCTCCAAGCACTGGCACTTACGTCCAAGACCTTCACAAACCCGGCACAGCGCGCCCTCTTCAAGGTTGCCATAGTCAAAACCACCGGCCACCTAGTGCGCCTTCTGCACAGCTTATTGCTTTATCCAAGCAACCGACGCTACGTCCGCTGTTTTGTAGCCATTATCGACGACTATCCGCGTCCATTGCCTCATCGGTTCATCGCTCCTCAGCCTCTGGTGCTGGGTGAGTTCCTGTACTACTTATATCCCATCTTGCCCACCACTGCTGTCCAGGACCTCCCTCAGGATAGCTTTTTCCACCGGACAGTCCCGCTTTTGCAGGAAACTTTGCAGGCTCTTTTGAAATAAGATAGACTCAGAATCACGCTTCCCATCATTGACTCTACGGTCGTCAATTTGCACACCATTGAGGACCAGCTCCTCACGGCCACTATCCAGCTGTGCCCAAAATTAACAGCTAGTCGCGTCTGCTTCGGCTTGCCACAACGTCATACAGAGCGACCGGCTCCGGCAACCCAACCGGTCGAGGATCCTCCCATCTATGCAACACTCCTCGACAGCCATCACGACCTACAGCTCAAGTCTCTAACACTCGACTTCGGCGCCCTTCTTTCACTCACAAATATAAGGCGCTATATCTCCGGTTACCAGATCGGATTGCCCCCTTCCGTGGAGCGGCTTACACTCGTGGGTAACAGAACAATGGATTCGGTACTCTCTTACCATTTGTTTGATCTTACCATCTTCGCCAGATTTCTCAGCACGAACAATAAGCTGCGTCAATTGCGTATGCTTCATGGATTCGATAAGCTGGTAAGTTACAAACGGTTTCGAGTCTATCAACCCCCGCGGGAGAACTGGAACTCCCTCCTCCTCAAATACCGCAATACCCTCGAAGTGTTGGTCATGGATCTGTACGGTTCATGGAGAGCCATCCCGCAGGCGCGGTATAGACACTCTGGCATGTTGGATTGTCTCGTGAAAATGGAGAAGCTACGTTGTCTTGGAGTACCGCTCCATGCTCTTGGAAGTGCTGAATTCGGTCTCCCTCTGGGCGCAGAAGACTGGGAAGTCACATCGTCCATACGAGCTGAACTGCCCCCTCGCTGGAAGAACTTGGAGGTGATGGTCATAGACCCATCTGAACTTGACAGCGATGGGGAGAGAACGCCTCTGACTTGGAGGATCGTCGAATTTCGGAGCAGTCCCAACTATTAACGGCACGGGACTTAAGGCCATGTCGAGACGGTGTGGACAGAGGTTTATCGAGTAGCATCCACCGAGAGCCCTAGACAATCGGCTGGTAGCTTGGCTCTAAATCGTGAAGGAAGGAGAAGTTACCTGGACAGGGTATTTTATACTATTCCGCGAGGGGAGAAATGTGTTGGATGTTGCGTGTATACAAGTAGTTATATGAGGAATCTAGTCACTACGGGTGACCAGTGCCGTAAGCTGACCACTACAGTTCGCTCTAAACACGTGTCTAACTTAGTATCAACGGATTGGCTGACGCCCGTTTTTGGGCTCTTGAAAAGTTAAGCAATCAATTATCTTTTCCTAAACTTTTGACAAAATGAAGTTGCCGGTAGTAGGGAGGCAAGAATGTTTGCAAGACCTCTTTACCTCTAGCTTCGTTGGTACTTAGGTGCACGGGCCACAACCATGACACGTCAGGCTTGTGGCCCGTGCCCAAGAGAGATAAAAGACTAGTATTATATTTATATTGCAATCCTCGTTTCAGGATACTGTACTTGGTTCGTAAAGGTACCTCTAGTTGTAGGTAAAGGTATTAGTTAGTTAATCAGGATAACTAACGGTTTTACTACCGTAACCCACGGTTAGGTAAATACTGCATACCAGCATCTATGCGCCCCATTGCACCTTCCAATATCCGTTCTTCTACACCCTACGTATTAATAACATTCCAGTGTTAATCGTCGTAGTTCTCTTGAAACTCACCAATCGGTCCGTGTTGGAAAGAATATGAGCTATAAAGTTAGATCTCTAGTAGTTGAATTTTTGGTATTTACAAACAACTATGTAATATTAAAAGTCTTAGGATTAGACTTTCACTTTCCTTCCACCGCCGGACCACAAACGCGCTTCATATAATCCGGAACCTTCAATTCTAAGTGAATGCGTGTAGTAACTCATATAATTGAATATGAAACTGATACCAGCCGCCTGCACGGGCCAGCCGGAGTCAAGGTTTGAGGTTATTTACATCCGGGCACATCTTGTGCAGCCCATTCCACTTTACTAGCACTTCAGGTTGATGGGATCTCTTCACTAGCCGAGGTAATGGACCCAATACTAGGTATTTAAATCCCCCCCGAGGGCCGTCCTCGCTAATCTCCTTCTGTTAACAAAACACCAACTCACCTTCGTGTGCACCGAGGAACGCAATCAACTACGCAACTCCCTACAACGCGCATTTGTGGGATAACTTGAACGATTAGATCGAGACTTACTATCAATTAGTCCTTGGTAGAAGTAATAAGAGAGCTGGAAAGTCCGATATCTCTTGCCGACACGAAAATCGACCCTCGCGTCGCGGCATCAATCTTGCCCTGATTCGTACCTTGAGGCATATACATTGTTGGTTGCTCCTTCTTTGTCTTCGACGTTCAAAAGTCTACCTCACCTAGACACTGCTTGAGCTAACCGGCAGCCGTCTTTTCAGAACTTGGCTACAACAATTCATGCGGAACGACATCCAGGGAGACCACGATTCAATCTCGCAGAGATCCAGCCAAAGTCGCCTTCTCCGATGACGCCTAATCGACAACCACCATCCCAGAAAGGATGGTCAGCTCTTGAGCAACTCCCGCAGGGGGTGCTTGAGAGAATAGCCGAGTTCTGTGGTAGTATTACTGCTTTCTCGTCCACCGAGCAAGCCGACCAGTTCACCGAGAACATTATCGACTTAGCGGCGTCAAACACTCGGGAACCAAGTTACCAGGACCTTCGTTCACTGGCACTTACTTCCGCCAGCTTAGCTTACCCGGCCAAGCGCGCCCTGTTCCGGGTCGCCGTCGTCAAGACCACCGGTGGTCTCATGCGCTTCATACGAAGTCTGATCCTGTATCCCCAAAACCGGCACTACGTCCGCTATTTCGTGGCTCGCATTGCGGATCGTATTCACTCCCTACCCAATAGATTCATCCCGCCCCGGCCCCTAGTAATGGCAAGCTTCATACGCAACCTCTACCCGGTCCTTTCGGCTCTCATGGACGGTGCTCTTCCCGAGCACAGCTTTCTTCGCCAAACGCTCATAAGCGCCATCGACACTCTCACCGGAAGCGAACCTTCAGAATGGGGCAATTTGATGATCCAGATCGTGGGCGAAACCGGTGTGAACTTCCACACCATAGAGAATCAAGTTTTTACGACGGCCGTGCAACTCTGTCCCCGCGTCGCAGCTACTCGTTTCTGCTTTGGTGAGCCAAGACGCCATTCCGCAGGACCACAGCCCGCCGACCAAGCTGCTTCAAATACCTTACTATATTTCACCCTGCTCCAAAACTGCTCGTCGCATCTCAAGTCCTTAACTTTCGACTTTGGGGCTCTTTACTCCCTCATCAACTTTAAGAGCTACGTACCGGGCTACCCAACCGGCTGCCTATCCTCCATCAAACGGCTCACCCTGGTCGGAAACAGGGTTCAGTCCGAACTGCCGTACGATTTGTTCACCATCGAAGTCTTTTTCGCCTGGTTGAGAACAAACACGAAGTTGCGCGAGCTCAGGCTAATCGACGACTTTGACAAGATGATCCAGTACTCCGATAGTAGGGCTACCGCTGAAGCCAACGGTAACTCAGCGCCTGCCAAACCTCTCAACTGGAATAACATCCTGCGTATGTACAAGTGTACTCTCGAGGTTCTGGAAATGAGCTGGTACCGCCCTTCTGCCTTTGGCATGAAGGCCCGGTTTGGCGCCTCAGGGAAGCTAGATTGCTTGTCCGAGATGGGCAAACTGAGATATCTGAAGGTGCCCTTGGTTGCTCTTGGCGGTAGCGACTTTATTGTGCTATTAGGCAACGATGGTAAGCTTATTGATATGGTTCATAGTGAACTTCCTGCCAGACTAAAGAGAGTCGACTTGATGGTGGTTAATCCGCCAGCGACTCGGGCGGAGAGAACGGACCTCAAGTGGAGGGTTGTTAAGTGCCAGATTTGAGGTTAGATACCTACTTCTTCATGAACGAGACGATTAGGAAACGGGAAAGTTGCTGATGCTTTACGCATGAGGGAAACGGTGAGGGTGAAGGTGTGGTTGATAGGTAGGGAAGGGACGTTCGATCGGTATAAGGCAAGGAAGAAAAGGAAGGGAAGCATGGGTGATACAGAACGATGCTCAACCGCACCAGGAAACTGTGTCTTTGCCTTTTTGTCTTGTCCGATGGCGAGCCAGCTTCACGCACCGGCGATACGTCCGAAAAGCGGAAGGCATGACACCGATTTCGACTCCGGGGTTCGGGGATCGGATCTATTCGCAGGGCCATGCCAAGTCTTATTCTCAGCGCCAGCCTACAGGAGGTAGATCACCCACATATCCTGGCGGTCTGCAACATCCATGACTCCGTTAAAAATGACTCGAATTGAGAAAGTCGCAAAGCAAGGTGCCAAGGTGGCTACATACAAGCACCAACTTCCTCCAACTGCCTTTGCGCCATCGAACATACAAATGGGGCTGAGGGGCTGAACGGCCGTGAACAATCGAAGGGCGGCTGACATTGCCCAGAGAATGTAGATCTCACATCATCGTGTAGCCTCACTGTGGGCGGGCTCCGAGAGTCCGAACTTTCTCTGGTTTTAGAGCGAGCTGGTGCCGCATGCAGGTACCACCGAGCCGTCAGGTAGGACACACTGTGGAATATGGATGGTGCGTCAGATTTAAGAGTGAGAGGTCAGCAAGTGGGAATTCGAAACAAAAACGAAAAAAGAGAAAAAGATAGATGGCATTGTCATGACATTGTGATTCGTAGGAAGTTGGTTGTTGTGTTGGTGTTCTGTGGAAAACTTGAAGGCGCGGGGGAGGTTTCCATCGAGCACTTTAGCGCCCTGTCAGCCTACCAGGGCAGGGACAGTCGTGGTTTCCCTTGATGTGGGCTCCGCAGGTAAGAAATTGGTGATAGGGCAATGCACATGCAAGACTCAAAGAGAAACTTCCAAGGCAAGAGCATCCAAGTGCACAATGCGGGGCTTGCAGAAGAATCATGCACTAGTACTGAACATAATTCTCCGACAACGATCATTCTGAGAATGACCAGATTTCGCTGAGTGTCCTTGATGTTTGTTAACACTAACACGACGAGAGACCACAGGATGGTGGGGTGTCCATCACCGGACGAACATGGATCTCCATCTAGGTGGAAAGCGCCGAAGCCCCTGAAGCCGCTGTAGCACCTACATCGCACGATGTCCCCTGTGCGAGAGGCGCCTCACAACAGTAGCAAAATAAATTATGGTTTGTAAATATTGTCGCCAACAAAGTTCTCGCAAGTTTAGAAGCAATACACCAAAGTAATGAGATGACTCATAAGCTTTATTGACATGATCTAGTAAGTATAGAAGCAGAAGGAAAACACCAAACCACACATACAGCCAAACCACCAAACCCTACATCTCGAAATATTTACAGTCCCCACCTGGCGCCTCTAAGGTTCTACCCCCCAAAAAGACCACCATCCAAGAAGCACACAACCACCACCATTCAAACTCCTTAATACCAGCCTTGAACCATCAACAAACACTCTAAGCACCACTGAACTCCTCAAAATCCAATACCCAAAAGACAAAAAGCCGCCCATACGAACCCAACAATGTCCGTCGACTCAGTCCTTAGTTGCTCTCAACACCATCCTCAACCTCGTTATACCCGCTCCTTCCAGACCCCGGAGTGCGCTTGTTGTAGCCACTGCGACCATCCGTATCAGCCTGCTGGTCGCGCGCCTTGTTGTAGCCACTACGTCCACTAGCGGCAGAAACAGTGCCGTCCTCTTCACCAATATCATTGTATCCGCTGCGTCCACTGGGAGTGCGCTTGTTGTACCCGCTTCTTCCGCTGTCGGCAGAGACAGTGCCGTCCTCTTCGCCGTTGTAGCCACTCCGGCCTGAAGGAACACGTTTGTTGTACCCGCTCCGGCCACTGTCGGGATCGGCCTGTTGGTCGCGGCGGGCCTTGTTAGTGCCATCCTCTTCGCCGATGTCATTGTATCCGCTCCGTCCTGAAGGAGTACGCTTGTTATAGCCGCTCCGACCACTGGCTACGGATACGGTGCCGTTCTCTTCGCCGTTATAGCCACTCCGGCCATCAGTGTCCGCCCGCTTGTTATAGCCGCTCCTTCCACTGTCGGTATCAGCAGTTACGGAAAGCTCGACATCTTCCTCAACCCTGTTATAGCCACTCCGGCCTGAAGGAGTGCGCTTGTTGTATCCACTCCGGCCACTATCGGTGATGAAGACAGCGGTGTCAGAAGGCTCGGGGTCTCCGCAGTTGTAGCCGCTTCGGCCGCAGTCGGGGTCGCTGGCAGAAAGAGACTTGGAGGTGGAAGAGGAAGGGGTAGGAAGTGCGGCGGTGGAGGCCGCGAGAAGGGAGACAGTCAGGAGGATGATGTTCTTCATTGTGATGAGTGTTTGCTGGTGTTTTTGTTGGTTGTGAAGAGAGACGAAGGGCTTAAAGACTGAGGTAAGTGTTGACTTGTTGTTCCCGTTGCTGTTGTCTTTGTGTTGCTTGGAATCTTTGATGATGATGTCGAGAACCTCTTCCAAAGACCAGCAGCACCGACTCTTATATCTCTGCGTCCATCTCCTATCACCATCCCAGACATGCCCTCGGTGTGATGTCTAACATTGTCCAAGCCTCAGTCCTCATCGCAGTTGCGCTCAGTAAGAACCAGGCAGCATGACTGATGATTGATGGGGAAGAGCCCCCAAATCGCTGCCTGAGGGCACTATCACTGTGATGTACACACCGAATGTGTATCACATCACATCCCTCTCCCAGATGTTTACGCCTTGAATCTTGGGGTCCATTGTTCTCGCTAAGCCCGATGGTATGTAGTTGCAAGTCCGTCCGGAACATCTCTCACGATTCGAGTCTCCACCAATTCGCTTGCCAAACCACCCGTGCCGTCGGAATGACCACCAATGGAGAGGCCCGGTGCTGAGGTCATCACCATTGGGAAAATTGGCACTAGGGCCCTCATTAACGCGCAGAATGGGGGCTCATCGTGCCCATGACTGTGGCAAAATAAAGTTAGCGCGGCACGGTGAAGTCTATCGAGGGACTACGCCTCCTATGCTTACCAGTATCGCGGCCCCACCTCGGTCTCAACCGAGCGGCGCGAGTTGTTGTCGTTCGTCAAAGCTTTTCTGGAGCCTCAGTTCCAAAATGTCGGGAGGAGGCACATCGGGGGGCCAGTGTCCACTCCTGGTTTTCTCGTAGTAGGGAGTCACGCCAACGCCAACGCCGGTGCGCGCGATGCTAGTCTTAGGACTCCCTGCTCCCAATCCACCGATGGAACGGTACGCCGCCCGTAAGCCATGTCCACAGTTGCCTACTTGGGAAGGATCCCAGCGGGAGAAAGATGCAAAGAAGGCTGTTCTGGTCTAGGACTCTGCGTATGTGGAGGCTAGGCTTCGTCCCCCCCACGAACAATGGAGGCACTGTGTCCTGTTTTGGAAGGTCATTGTCGTAGGGCTGCAGAGTTACATCGGTGCTGTGAGACACACACACCGGCCTCGGATGCTCCTGGCAGGGTCTCGGAGAGATGCAAAAGTTATCGTTTCTGTGCTTCGAAGTTCGCGATTGCGATCGCATAGCTCAATTGACTCCGACAATGCTCCAAAGTGGTCGGACTCGGAGGGGCATGGTCGTGAACGTCGTTGAACGATACTTTCAATCAATCTGCAACTTCCATGTTGGTGATGGTTTTTGGTTGTTGGTGATGGCTTGGCATATTGGTTTCAATGGAGGTGGTAATGGCCATGACGTCGGGCTGTCCGAGGGCGGCGGCGGCGGCCCCCACGTCCAGGCATCTGTATGCCCTGTCACAACCGTGGAGGAACCCAAGTTCCAGTGGAGGTAATCGCTGTGGCTTATGGGGCTATGTAAGTAATTTTACGCCAATAGTGTAACGCCATTTCATCTTACAGGAGGAAAAGAGGCGTAGAGGTAGGTACCTGTAGATAACTTTTGTTGGTGATTTCCAGGTTATCGTCGGTACATCCCCTTGACAGTAGAGGTAATTCGGCCGCCGTCAAGGCTGGTACGGGCCCAACCGCCAACCGCAGTTTGTTGGAGCAAAACAAAACATTGTGTATAATGATTGGAAAATGCTATTTGCTAATGATCAACCTGAAATCCATCTACCTACCAATTTGAACTGCTCGCCTAGTTCCAACATGGAGCAATCGAGCGAGTGTCCTTGATTGCTTACTCACACAGCTGCATCGGCTTGTTAGGACCGTAACAGCCATAGCGGGACCCGTACCACCTGCAAGCCTGCAACTCCCACCTTACAGCGCTCTGCCCACTGTACATATGTATCATTCGAGGACGTCGGATTTCACTGCAGTCTTTCAGCACAACTTGGTGTGGGCAGCACAATGGGTTTTTCTAAAAAGGATACGAATGAATGTGCCGCTTCAGGCGGGGATCTACTCAAGTTTTGTACAACGTCGTGCAAGAGAACTCCCAGCACTTTTGAGCCGTGTTTTGACGGATAATGGCGCTCGAGGAAAGCGTACACTACCTTCAGGTGGTTGTCCCAAGGGCGCGGCATGGCTTGCATTCCTGCAGGGACTGCCTTCGTCGTGGAACACCACGACTCAACAGGACATTAACCAGGTCCTTATTTTCCGGCGTCTTCAAATTGATGAGAATGGGGAGGAACTTGACAATTGGCATAACAAGATCCTCGATCCCGATGGGACAGGCTGCCGGCACAGGGCTGGTCTTGTGGCGAGGGAAACAGCGCCCATCGCAGCTTCTACGCTCGCTCCAAGTTCCGTGATGTGATGCAGGAAATCACGAATACACGAGGGTTCTCGAAAATTTTTTGAAGCAATAGTCACGAACCTAATAGCAGGGCCATCCCACATCTCGGATGGTAGCGAACCAGAACACGCCACTGCACAGCGCTTACAACCTGGACAGAATCACTCACCATCATCAATAGTTCCGTTCCCTCTCGGCATCAATCCCCTTTCTACGAGCTATCTCTGCCATTCCGCCGAACAACCCATGTTCCATCGCCAAGCTCACTCAGCAAGCAGTCAGCTCAGCCCTAGCCGACTTTCCACTTGCATTTGACTGCAACCCTACCTACTCGTTGGGCTCACCTCCGATACCACCTCCATCCCGCTCATCCCGGCATCCCCGTCTCAGTCGAACCCCCACGCGGGGACATCACGCCTTTTTCACCAGAACGGTAAAAGTATACGTATTTTGGACCCGTGCCTGCCTCGCCTTCTCTTCCTCCATTCTCTTCTTCTCTTCCTCCTCCACTTCCTTTTTCTTTCTCTCTTCTTCCTCTTTCGCCTTCTTTTGCTCGTCTTCTAGAGCCTTTTGCATTTTGGCTTGGGAATCGTCACTGAGGAGAGCAGAGGTTAGTTCCTTAGGGTGCTCGTGTTCAAGAGATAGCAGACGTACCTGTTGTCTGAGTACACCATGTTTGCGGCTCTGATCAGTGTCTGTGAGCTCGAAAAGAAGGTATGCGTTTCACTGTGATGGATACTTTGGTGATGGTAGCAGAAGAAAGACACTGACACGCAGCAGGACAAGGATCTTTATACGTCTGCCCTCAGTTCGACAGGATCGGGATATTGGACGTTTCCTTCAAAAAGGCCGTTTGTCTTGCTTCACAGTGTTGGACCTTTGAGGTGTTGGAGCAGCATGCGTCACGGTCTTTACTTCATCTTGTTTCAACAAGTGCAAGCGAGGGACATATGCCAGCGACATTTCTAGAGCGATCCACAAAATCATGGATAGTACGGTTATGCTGATTGGTCTACAGATACAATGAGGACAGCATACCAAAGAACAAGAGAGCAACTACGGGTTCATTGCGAGAGGCTACCTAGCTTTAGAAGCCGCAAACAGGTTCCTTAAGCAAGTCAACGAACGCCAATGCATCAATTTGGGTCTTGATTACTTTCTAGTTAGTATAAGCCAACTAATATTTATCGTAGGTAGCAAACATCTTTTTCCCTTTCCTATCTTATCCAAAAAGTCTTCTTCTCTACCCTTAGTTATTAATCCTATTAATATCGACGGAAAGATTATTACTAGAGGTAATAGAGACCCGCGTAATATTTAATATAGAAGTTATAAATAGGTTCCTTAGGTAAGTTAACGAACGCCAATGCATTAATTTGGGTCTTAATTACTTTCTAGTTTGTGAGCCAACTAATATTTATTATTGGTAGTAAACATCTTTTTCCCTTTCCTATCTCATCCGGAAGGTCTTCTTCTCTACCCTTAGTTATTAATCCTATTAATATCGACGGAAAGATTATCACTAGAGGTGATAGAGACCCGCGTGATGTTTAACATCCAAGGCTGGCTGGCCATGCTGATCCGTGCAAGCATCACAACAAGTCTACTTGCTCTTATTCTTAGCAGCCTCCTCCTCCTTCTCCTTGTCGATTTTCGCTTGCATCTTCTTCCTGACCTCCTTGAGAAACTCCTGTCTCTTCTGCTCATCCTCTATCAATTTTCTAGCAGTTTCCTCTCTCTTCTTCCTCCTCTCCTCTTCCTTCTTAGCAGCGTCTCTGGGAAACAAGGCGGTCAGTTTGCGGTCCGCGCAGAGAGCGAGGTACGCGAAGAGGAAGAAGGCGAAAATAATGAAGGAAGGGGGGTTAGGTAGTGAGGGACGTACTGATTGTCAGACATTTTTTTTTTGCTGTTTTGTCTTTGGATCTTTGTTGTTGTTGGTCTTGAGATGCTTTTGGTGAAGCTTAGTGTTCAGTGGTTGCTTTTCTGTTCGATGCTTTGTAGATGATGAAGAAAGGAAATACAGGAAACAAGTGGTGCATGGCCATGAGCTTTATACCTTTTGCCTCGGGGCAAACTGCTCGTCTTTTGGGGACATTGAGCGGAAACTTGGGAGGTATTTGCTATGCATCATGTGTTGGACTTTCAGGATCAGAGGAGCGTGCATCCTCATTATCGGTCATTCTACCAGGCAAGGGGCTTGTTTGTCTCTTGTCCATCATACGTGATCAGTATTACTCGAGCAATCTCATAGTTCCAGACCCTTCAGTTCATTTTCCCGCAGTTTGTTGCTTGTCAAATCGTCATACTTGACTCCCCTCGTGGTCTTGCAACTCACAATCAGTCCCATCCAGATTCCAGCCCTTGATAGCACACAAGACAAATAATACCAAAGCAAGCAATGAAGCACTTGCCAAGGCAAGTCGAGTAAGGGGGTTTTCCTTCCCTTGTTTGCTTGCAAGTCCTCGTTTCCACTTCGTCAGAGTTACCTACCTCTCCCATGGATCTGGCATATGTTTCCCTCGCCATATGAAGATGGGTACGATACAAGTGTCAATCGTCCCATTGGTCCCACTACCGTGTAACTGACAAGATCCATATTCTATGATAATCAGTAGCGTCGAGAGCATATTGCAGTTCACCATCTTGATGCATTTAAACGAAGACAAGTAGGTTATGAAAACTTCATATCGACAAGACAAGGCAAGCAATACCCGTCACTAGTGTATTGTACCACGCTAATCCCAATACCTCAAAGGCTCCTACACCATCCTGACGGATCTGACTTTTTCACCACTCGCTGCACTAAAACAGCCAGAACAACGAAGCAGTGACCAATCCCAAGTCCCTACACTAGAGGTAGTTCTTACCTACCTCTAGGGGTTTGGAACCCCCGTCGCCTTCTCGTTTTTCTTTTCCTCTTCCTTTTTCTTTTCCTTTTTCTCCTTTTCGTTCTCCTCCTTTCCCTGCACTCTGAATACCTTCTCCTCTTCCTTCTTCTGCGGGTCCTCCTGCGACCCCGTCATGACTGCCTCGTCCGCCGGCGCCGGGGGTTCTGGGGAACCTGGTCTTCTGGATAATGTTCAAAGAAAAAGAAGTTAGGTGGGTGGTAGGCTTGGGGTTTTTATCCATTTGACAGCCAATAGATGGACATGGAGGGGAGAGAGGTTGATGCGGCCTCTGGGTGGGTTTGTGGTTACGTACCGGATGGGCATGTTGGTCGGGTTGGTGGGTTGGTTGGCTTGGTAGGTTGTGGGGATGTCAAAGATGGTTGTTGGTAGTATGAATAGGTTTGGAGGTTTGTTACTTTTGCTTTTGATGATGGTGGGTGATGAGAACTTTGTCACTGGTCGTGGTTGGAAGGAAGGAAGTCTTATAGTTCAGTGATTCTCGTCATTGGGTTCTACGCAAATCTGGCCAGAGGACACAGAGATTGGCCATCGTAGATACTGGACTCATCACTCTTGACTCACGTTTGTTCATCATGGTCATTTTGTGAACTTGGAAACGAGACTTCGTTCATGTGGCGCATACAATGTGGTGTTGAACTTCATCTGGTTTCCTCGGGTCCAGTTGCCAGGTCTGGAACCAACTACCTTCAGTATCTCTACCTCCCGTCGCTGTAAAGTTCCAGACTTGTTGCCATCCCTCACTTTCCCCCTTCCTCCCTCCCTGATTGATTCCATCATGGAGACATCGCAAACAACATCAATGATTGCTTGATCATCATGTTCCCCTCACTTTCTGCTCATCATCCCCACAAAAGGAGTAGAAACAGGAAGGTGCATCCTCACCAAGACGAGATTACTTGCTCGCCTTAGCAGCTTCCTTCTCCAGCTCTTTCGCTTTCTTCTGCTTCTCCCGCTCCTGCCTTCTCTTCTCCCTCTGCCTCTCCGCTTCCTCGGCTAGGCGTCTCTTTTTGTAAGACCTGGGTGATGCATGACAAGGTCAGTATCGATCTGAAAGAGTATAGAAGGTCTAGAGAAGAAGTAAGTGACGTACTGCATGATGGGATCATGCTGGGTAAGAGCGTTGGACATGTTGGTCATTGAGGTTTTGATGTTTTGTTTCCTTTTTTTCCCTGTGATTGTTGGTCTTGCCTGTGACTTGAAAGACGCGTGTTTGGTCGATTCTCGACTGGGTTATCGAAAGACTGCGGGGATTTGACGGTTGTGGGTTCTGAGAGGAAACTTCTTGCCTTGACGATGACCAGATCGGTAATTTTATACTGGCATCTTGGAGGAAGGTGCGAGCACTTCACCAGCGAGTGACGGAGATGTCTGGAGCTCAAGGACCTGAGTCAACCTCGTGCTTTCCTTTTCTCGCTATTCTAGAGGGTTGGGTTGCTATTGTGTGTTGGGAGTTACTATTATTCACGTTGCTGCATTTCAGGTTCGTCTGGTCTGACAGTTTGCTCGTACTGGTACCCCTAGGTAGCTGAGTGATCTCGTCACTTCGTAGGTCAGGTTGTCCATTATTGCTGTGCTATTGAAGTTCCGCTGTCTTAGTAGGCTGATGAAGTCCTCCGTCAGCACTCCCGTTGCCTGTATCATCCACCCAGATGCCCTCCGTCCCTCGTGGAACCTGGTAATGCAGGTGGTGTTGTGACCGGATTGCTTGAGGAGCTGAAAATTTCCATTCTTGGAAGCCGCGATATTTCCATGTTTGAGCACCTTGTTGTCCACTTTATTGAAGCTGCCTGGAAGGAACAAAAGGTTGGGAAATGAAAAAAATCGCAACATGGAAGGAGCGTCTTCTTGGCCGTGCAATTTGTGGAGTGGGATCGCATCCAAATGCTTGTGATGAGCGACGCACGTCCAGAGGGGAAACTGCTGGTTTTTGATCAAGTGCGCAATTGATTCTTCCTCAGAACAACTAATTTTGACCCCATTCATCTTGTCATGGATGGTTTCTTTTCCAAGTGGCATCCCCTCTACAACCCGAAACTTCATAGTTGTCTTTGTTCAATTCTGTCTGGCTGCTTTTTTTTCTGTTTTCATACAATTTCCTGCCAATCTGCAGCCGTGATGGTCGCGATGCAACGCTGTTGTTGCCGGGCATGACGGTTCGATGCGCCCGTGTGCCCACGCTCGATTGTTATCTTTCTTCTTTTGATCATCTCAGCCATTGTAACGACCTAATTGTACATCTATCGATCTCGCATTGTTTGGTTGCCCACCCATCTCCTTTAGATTCAAGCGACCTTGACCGACATCTCCCAAGATGGCCCTGACCCTGCTGGCGATTGACGCAAGTGCACGGGCCATCCAATCGCAAATTTACGCGTTTAGGTGCTCACTGCCGCTAAACCGTTGCGCCAAAATTTTCAGCGGGCGTGTGGCTTGGAGCGCCGCCAAAATTCTGCTCCATCAACGACGACGCTTCATCAAACCGCGGCGGGAATACGTGCCTCATTACACGACACCACGTGCCATGCCTTCGGTGCCCGCTCCCGTCACGGATCCCGAGAATCCCAAGATCCAAAGATGGGACGACATTGGGCTGCTACTTATCCACGACTTCATTACGGAGGATGAGGAGGCCGCCATGATCGCTGCCTTCCACGCCGTCGACCATCGCCTGGACGGCAAGAGACGCATCAGCCAGCACTTTGGCTACCACTTCGACTACACCACCTTTGGCGCCTCTGAGACAAGCTTCACGCCGGTGCCTTCGTACATCACCGACTTTCTCCCTCGTCTGCCCGTCCAAGACTACCTCCCCGACCAGTTCACGGCACAGTACTACCCTCCTGGCGCCGGCATCCCGCCGCACGTGGACACGCACTCCATGTTCGGCGAAGCGCTGTATAGCTTGTCATACGGAAGTGCTGTTCCCATGGTGTTCAGAATGTCGGATGCAAATGACGCCCGCAAGATGAGATTGCCTAGAAGATCTCTCCAGTCGTCAGTATTAGAAAGCAAGATGGAGGGTGCATCTGGTACCAACCCAGAATCCGCGGCGACTGCTCCCGACAGCCAGACGACAATGACGGTGAAAAGTAAACTGGAAGAGCCGTCACCAGAAAACCCGTCGTGGGAGCTTGTGCTTCCTCCTCGCTCGCTTCTGCTCATGACCGGCCCCGCGCGCTATGGCTACACGCATGGCATCAAGTCTCGCAAGACTGACATCATCAATGGCGAAATGGTACACAGACAGGGGAGGTACTCCATCACCATGAGAACCGTCAGGCGGGGAGATGAGATTGGATGCAACTGCGTATTCCCTGGTGTCTGTGATGCCCGCATTCGCGAGGAACAGAGTCGGCCAGCAGCGGCTCAGAGGATGGACCCTCTGGAGAAGTAGCGGTAGGCGGTTACACGGAGGAGCTGATCACAAGGACAACATGGACGGCGCCGATTTGTTCAATGATCGGCAGAGGCTCGTATGACAGGTGTCTAGGGGATCTCAGTCTACCTGTCAAATTTGCCCAGACAATGGCGTGCCAGACGCAAAATGACACGAAACTTGGGTGCTCACTGCTTCGTGGTTGGATCTGGCGCTCCAACGGACGGACAGGTACCAGGGCACTTTTCCCCAATATTTCGACGTCGAATCGGACGCTAAAATCCGGGGCCGCGGGCGGGGTATTGACACACCGGTGGGGGCTGGGCAAGGGTACATCAGTACCTTCTTACCTAATTCCTCCCTTGGCAGGTACCCCACGATCGTCCACGAGGTCAATGACATGCCCTAGGGTCGTCAGGTGATGCGCCAGGTCCACGACCTCTCGTCCTTTGACACTGGGCAAACCCTAGGTATGACAAACCCTGAAAAGTATATCATGTTTGGTGTCCTTCAACGGAAATCATCATCTCGTACCAGCATTCCAGCCCATGATTGGACTCCAACACACTTTCACAATGGACCGAGACTGCTTTTCGTACCTCCCTCACGAGCTTCACTTGACCATCTATCAGCATCTCCTGGACATCACCAGGATCGACCGTGAAGACCGCACATCAACACTTTTAGCCCTTGCACAAACTTCTCGTCACATCCGCGCCACTTACGAGCCCATCCTCTTCCGACAAGATGGCAATCCGGACAGGGCCATGCGATGGGGTGCTTACCACGGCTTGATCCCCTTGATGGAAAAAGCTCTAACACATGGAGCATCCGTGAAGGCCGAAGGCCCTCACCCATTAGGCCCAGAGTACACCTTTCCAACAAAGACTGGCATCTTTACGGGGCCGGCCAAGGGCAGCCCTCTTCACTTCGCCGCGATGAATGGACAAAATGATGCTGTCGACTGGCTTCTTGACCACGGAGCTTCTTTGCATGAGCCCTCCAAGAACCTCTGCAAGTGTGTGGACCCACAAATCCCACAGGGCTTCTTGACAGATCTTGGACGCATTTCCCAGAATCACGGCAGCCTCAACCACGATGCCCTCAGCTTGGCGCTGTGTCATCATCATTCCTCCACGGCTCAACTTCTCATTGACCGAGGGGCAGTAGAAGGAAATGCTGAACCCGTCGCTCTTCACACAGCAGCAGCCACGGGCCAACACAACCTATTTTTCGAGATTCTGCGGCATGTAGGGCGACATGCTTCCTTGGATACTCCTATCGAGTCCCGATTCACATCGCTCCATTATGCAGCTTGCTCTCCTGTTGCCTCTCCTGCGTTCATACAGAACATGCTTAAGGCCGGAGCCCACGTCATTGAGTCTGCTCCTCGCACTGATTTGCCTGTTTTTTACGCCGCTCTCAATGGCTCATGGGCGGTTGCCACTATGTTCCTCGACATGGACCTTGAGATGACCGAGTCCCAAGCACAGGTCTACCGCGCAGCGGGCATCACTCTCGAAGGGGCCCTCGTCCACGCCGCTGTTTTTGCTCCAGAACCGCCAAACGACTCGCCGACGAGCAGCGAATGGTTTGACGGGCGGAAGCAGTTCCTTGCACGACTAGCGCGTCAAGACCCCAACTGCGTCAACTCCGTCTACAGAAACCCACATTGGTACACCAACGATACACCGCTCAAGCGGGCCGCGGCCAAGGGCCACCTCGAACTCGTTCGCATCCTCCTGGACTTGGGTGCCGATCCAAACGTTACAGCCGGCGCGTGCTCCGAAACCGTTCTGCATGCTCTCACTCGATGCAACCTCCCTGTCTATCCTGATGATAACCCTTCTCGCTTGAGTCACCCTAGTTTCGACTTCTATACTTGCCAAATCGAGAATATCGCTTCCCCGATCGAGAAGCGCTTGGCCGCCAGCACTCCCATCATCATTGCCCTGCTGGAACATGGTGCGTCAGTCGATGGAGTCAAAGACAGAGACGGCAAGACTCCGTTGGATTTGGTGGTTCGCTACCAGGTGGCTGAGAGGGCAGACACGGCCAAGAAGTACATCGTTCTCTTTGAGGCGGTGAAGTTGTTGAGAGTCCTGCTGAAGCACGCGAATCCAGGGTGTTTGCAGGAAGAGCAGCGGCGGAGGGCCAAGACCACCGTGAAGAGGATGGAGCTGGAGCTGGAGGGGTGGTGGTGTTTCACTCCTAGGGCGAGGGGGATCGGCGGGTTTGGACATATTCCTAGTTTCACGTCTGGATATTAACGTGGACGGTTTGGCTAAAACATTTTTTTTCATCTTTTTTTTTTTTCAATGTTTTGGAGTTTGTCTGGTTCAATTTTCACTCTTTTTCCCCTTCCGTTGTTGGTTTTTGTGCATTGCCAGCAGTGTCCACAACGATATTCTGTGCTGCCTGCAATACATGTCATGTCTGTTGAGACGTACCACCGTGGCATATATCGCTTGCCAAAATGATGTGAAGGCTTGTTTGAATCTAATCGCTCGGTAACTGGCAAGCAGAGGCAGTGTTGAAATTTGTTGGGCAAACTGTGGCTTGCACATCGCCTTCCTTCCTATGCACATCAGTGGGTTCATCATTCTCCTACCGCTAGATGTTGAAATATGAAGCTTCCGAGCTCGGAAGGATATTATGGGTTAACTCACATCATCTAACAGACCCGCAGTTCTGGATGCAGGTCAGTTCGACCGCAACAGCATTGGGTCCAAGCTTCATGACCTCTTTGAGACCTTGTTCTCGTTTCTCCTTCGATCGACTGACATCCCAGCGGCTTTGCATTCTTTGCCATTGTCAGCTATTCACACGATTAGCAAGCTCGTCGGCTTGTTTTCTACGAAACCGACGAGCAAAGCAGAGTATTGTTTGCTAGGTGTATGGAGAACAACTTGCGACATTAGTTGGATGTTGCGATTCCTAGCAGTCAGTATATCAGCCGATCTCAACGTCGCTGTGGTCACCACCCTCGCGGTAGAAACCGGCCATCCAACCACCTAGCTGCGCGGCAACGTCACCCTCTCTTGATATATTCATCTCGATGCTCTCCCCAACCGGCACCTGAACGCTCTCTAAATACACCATTTGGTCAACCCGCAACCTAACCACATGGGATACGTACATCAACAGAAAGAACGACGAAAATTGGGTCCATTCGTATACCGAGACTTTCGACAATACGAAGCGCGGGAAGAATATTCAATAAGGCTGGTCAAGCCGTCCAGGTTCTACCTAAGTAAGGGCCTTCACTAAGGTACCCGCTTCTGATCCCATTCACTCTGTGGCTCACATCGTCGAGACGGGTACGTGAATAACGGGACCTTCAGATGACGTCTTATTCCTGCATTTTTAGATTGTGGGCTACGTTCACCATTCACGCACCGGTGGAGCAATAGCAGGTTCGCTTCTCAGGCCCAAGCCACATCACGAACGAAAACATGAGATGAAAAGAGGCATCTACTGTGGCAGGCACATCATCAACTAGTAGTACCGCTGTCTGAGGGGAATGAATGGTCTCAAAGGGTTAGGACGAACTGAGACGGTGGGGCAGATGCCAGAGCGGCGGGCCAGGTGAGCTTTTGAAGGTTCTCCTATGGTGCAGTCGTTGCGATCTCCCATTCACCACAACTAATACGCCCGCAACATATCCTTCACCACAAGTCCTCGGGTTTGCTGATTCTCCTGTTCATTCAATCTCCACCCACTCCTATATATCCTACATTTCGACCCAGCTTCTTCCCGGATTTTCCCTTGCACTCACAACTGCCTATCTTCCATTTGGCAAGTCCGACTTTCGTCTTTCGACACCGATGTCCACACAACACGATCATTACAATACGACTGAAACCCACCTACGAAACCTCATAGCGCATCCCTGTCACATTTACCGTGAGTCATGGCCGTCTCTCAAGCTCTATCAGCTAACGTGTCGACTTAGCAATATACGTGATGAAATAGCCAATATGGCACCGAAGAAGGCGCGAGTCAAGAAGGCGCAAACCAAGAAGAAGGCAGCCAAAAGAATACAACCCAAAGAGATACTGTCACCCGACACCCCACCTGCGGATGGTAGTTCTCCATTTACCAGACTCCCTCTGGAGGTACACATGGTCATCGGTGACACATTGAAAGCGGACATGCAGCTTGGTGCGCTGGCCAAATTAGCCAGGACATCGCGGCGTCTCTGCTCTTTCTACGAGCAGCAAATCTACAAAGGTAGAGGCAACCGCAACAACATCGTTGCTCTGATGTGGGGAACGAGACATAACTCTGTCACTGTCATGCAGAGCGCCCAACAGTGGGGCGCAAACCTCGATGTTCGGGCTTACCACCTGAACAGAATGGGAAGCAGGAGAACCCATGGAATGCATGGTAGCGGAACGGCACTCCAATTAGCCATTAGGGATCAAAACAACGCATCCATGTGCTGGTTGCTCGACGAGCACGCTCGTGTGGATATACCTGGGAAGCCGGCTCAAGGCATGTGCCAGTGCACCACCCAGTCCAGATCTCACGCCTCCAGTCTCCACCTTGCTTTCTGCAATGGAAACCTGCTTGCCGCCACGACCCTTCTCCGACGCGAACCGGTAGCTTCGGTGCGGTATTCACTAGAGGTTGATACACGATCCATTCTGAATACGGCAGTCAAGGCGGCTTTCAGTGGGTATTCGGTCAGCTTTTTGGCTGTGGCACTCGAAAACCCTGCAATTCGCAAGTCAATCAATTCATTCCAGGGAGTGGACCATCGTACACCCATCAAAGTGGCTCTGTCACCTCACCACGAGGGTCGTCATCACTTAGAGCTGATCCTTGATGCCCTGGTTAAGGCAGGTGCAAGTTTGGGGCCGTACCCTCACGGCTCAGATGTGGAGGGACACCATCCACCCCTATGGTCATCACTCTACAGAGATGACAGAGAGGCAGCCACATATCTGCTGCGGCTCGGCTGCGACCCCAACGGTGACCGACCTCATCCGATTACTCCAGAGTGGCGGAGCCCGTTGCACTGGTACATCGGCCATGAATCATATGAAAGATGGTACACGCCTGGTTGGCAGCAGGAGCATGTGGCCCATGAGTGGATGCGTCAACGCAGACCGTATATCAGAGATTTCATTGTTGTTCTTCTCGAGCACGGGGCGTCGCTGGACATCACGGATTTGGCTGGAAACTCTCCACTCGATTATGCCGTCAGCTACATGGACAGATTTGTTGAACCAAGGCGCCGAGTTGCAGGCTTCAAGCTTGTCAAGCTCTTGCTTGCCAAAGTTGAAGCCGAGGGCATCTCCAAAGAGTCCAGGAAAAGGGCTGACGACGTCATAGCGACACTAGTTCAGGACTTGAGGGCTGAGCATGCCACTCATGATCTGTCCGACGTTCGGGTGCGTGAACTTTCGGCAGAAGATTGGGATTATGATGGCGAAGAAGAAGAAGAACGGGAGCCGATTCGTTTAGGATAGCATACGTGGAGGCGTGAGGGAGGAAGGTTGAGAAGGAAGTGAAGGGTGTTGGGTCGTGTGTAAGTCATTGTACTTCTCGTCGTTTTCGAGGAGTAACCCTCCGCACACCCACCCCATTCCCTACATACACCCAAAAACCCAAAATTGTGGGACCATGCAGTTGATGACACCTGATATTGTAAATTGCGTTTTTACCCGCTAAATTTCGTTTTTTCAATACAACCAACATTACTATTAAGGATATTCTAACTTGGTTACTTTTTTACCCTTTTTCACACGGCCATTTGCACGTCGTATACCAATAATGTCGTATATCAATAACGTTGCATATTAATAACTATTACTATCCCTAACGTATGTAACCGCTTAAATTAATTGCTTTTGATTGTTTGTAATCGGCGTTAATTGCGTGTAATTGCTAATAGCTAATAGATTCTGTCTCGAGCTTCCTAGAATGCCCCCTCCTTGGTGCAACTTCGCCGTCGTTGCGATTCGACTTCCTCGTCCTCTATTTTTATAAGTAATCATGCCTCCTTCGATAGCGACGCTAAATAGATTATCCCTCCCGACGACGGCGCTTTTACTCTCCTACTTTCCGATTTAGATTCTACAGTAATTGAAGTTATTGAAATGTATTATCGGTATAAATTTGGGGTATTTACGCTTCAGACTGATTATTTTAAGAAGGGACTATATATTAGCGAGCTCTACTATAAAGTTTTTTAATACGATTACGCCGAACCTATACTTAATATAAACGCTAACTCGTATAAGAAGCGACATATAATTATTTAAAAGATTGTTAATAAATATCCCTTCCGTATTATAATATAATATTTAAAGAAGAATAGTTATAAATATACTATCTGGGCGTTCGATCGTATATATAAAGGCTACCCTCTATTGCGAGATTTGTTAAGCTATTTAATTTTTAGATAATAGTCTTTAAATACTAATAGTTATAAGGATATTACGAATCTCCTTCGCTAATAGGAATTAACTATACGTACTATATACGTAATAGTTAAAGAGTAATACTTTAAGCTACTACTTACGTACAAGGATTTTGAGAATATGTGATAAAGGATATACCAATAAGATAATAGGGGTTATATTGATATATAAGCATTCGTACGCGCTCTCGAGAGTAATAAGTTTATTATATTTTAGTATTACCTTTTTAATTACTATAAGGATAACGAAAATTAATAAGAGGAGGAATTTAATATACTATAGTATAGTTTTTGATATTTAGGGAAGTAAAAGAAAATATAGAAGTAGTATTTATATATTTTACTACTTAATACTATATATAAAACGAACTATTATTATATACTAATTGTATAGAGTATTGTAATTACGCCTAAAAAGTTATTTATACTAGTCTTTTAAGTAGTTATTAATAATAAAAAGGACGAAGGATTTAACTAGTTTATTAATTATATTAGGAAGACGATAGAAGAGTTGTTAATCCCTAAGCTATTAGTTATTATTATTAACGATAATAGTCAATTTATTAGAGCTATCAATTGAATCTTCTTAACTGTTTAATATTAATATTGTGTATAGTATATTAATTATAATATAGTTAAGTACTTTAAAGATAATTTGTAGCGTATAGAACCTAACAATAAGTAAAATAGAAATAATAAGAAAGGTAGTAAGGAGTTTAAAGAGGAGGAGGATAGTAGTAATAATTTTAATAATTCAACCTTACGTATATAACGGCTAAATTGAGAGCTAATCGATTAGAGTGATTAGAATAACTTCGATTAATTATACTATATATATATTAAAAGGTTAAAATAGTTACTAGAATGTAGGTTGGGCTTAGTCTACTTCCTAACGAGGTTGCTAATACGAGAGTAGGGTTCTTTTATATATAGTAATATATAATTTACGCCCTATTAATAGCGGAGTTTGAAAGCGCTTTATTATTTTTGTATTGTTAATTTAGAAATATTTAGGAAGCTATTATTAATTACGAGTAATTTACTCCTTTGTAAAATAGAGTAGGTTGGTTGCTATACTAGGTTCTATTTTAATTGTAGGTAGCGGACTATATTACTAAGTAAATTTAATAATAGTTCTTTAAAATCGTATAGGTTATTTGCTCGTAGCGGTCTAATTAATTTTTATTAAGCTAGTAACTAGTATATTATCCGCCGTTATACTTACTTTAAGGAGGTTATTACTAAGTTATTATTTTGTGTGCGTATAGATTAGATCGGGCGCCTATAGGTAGGTAATACTCTTTTTAATATTATATTATAGGTATATGAATTACTGTTACGAACTAATAAGCAGAAGGACACGGGCCAACCGGACTGCCGGTACACAGCAGGCACGTGAAGGCTGGGCAGTGTAACCATGGGCAGGGAACAAGGCTTACGGTGGGCCAGGCTCATGAACCAGGCCAGGCTTATAAAGGTGAGCCAGGCTCATGAATGAGCCCAGCTCATGGTGGTGAGCCAGGCTCAAGAATGAGCTCGGCTCACAGGAATGAGCCAACACTATCACCATGAGCCAACCTACGGAAAACGGCAAACCACCTGTAAGCACAATAGATATAAAGGGGCGACTGGAGAATTCAGATTGTTAGATAGTTCGACAGTTGTCAATAGATCAATATCACCGAGACCAGTATCACGATCATACTTGTTGTGAACCTTTTGGCTTCACCGAACAGCACTGATAGTCTTTACCTTCAGCTATCTCACTTAGGCAGATCAGACGGCCTGTTCGTCACAATTACTTATACGCTAATATAACTAGCTAAAAGCTACCCTCCCTACTATGAATTATCCCAGTATACCTTTTAAATTATATATTAAGTAGTTTAGAGCGTAGTATAGCTTCCCTTACGCTTATAAAATAGTAGTAAAGAGGGAAGTTGGTAGAACGGTTTTTATTATAGCTTAAAACTATAACTACCTAGACTATATAGGTCGAGTTACGTAGCTACGTGCCGCCGCTACGGTACAGACTACGCGACTGGGAGCTTAGCGCGCGCATACTACAAAACCTCGTACAGCCAGCTCACCTTTATACTTTTCTTCCTTCTTTTCTTTAGCTTTAATATTGTATTTAAATTATACTACAACCGATTTAAGCTAGCTTATTCTTATAATTATATACGCTCTTATATAATATTAAAATTAAAACCTATTATACAACTAGGGACGGTAACTATAATATTCTAACCTAAAAATAACCCCGATACCCAAAGTCGCTTCGTACAACGAGAATCCGAAAGTATTTAAAGTCGCTATAACCAATTATTTGAAGTATAAGGACTTGATAAGAGAACTTCGAATTACGATTATTATAGCGAGAACCCGATATAAGAATATCCTACTTTGAAAATTATATTAGTTGTAATCCTACTCGAAAGTAATAAATTCCAATATAGCGAATAATCCTAGAAGCTAGCCCGAGGGCAGCCCGACGACCGATAGTTATATATTAAATTATATTAATACTAACCTTGATATTAATAAGGTTGAAATACCTACCCTTATTATTACTTATCCGAATTTACTATAAATAGAGAAGCAATTTATTACCCTTTCTATTAGTAATTATAATAAAAATCGTATATCCCTTAATTCTTTTATAACTTAAAATTTATCCGCCCTATAGGAGTATATTACTATTTAGTAAAGTATTTCTAATTACCCTCCCCCTAGAAATAAAAACGAAGGCCTCTTTAAGGGAGTATAGCCGTTGCATTACTATAAAATTCGTTTTAGTATTGAATCCTTCTATAATTTCTATAATAAAGTATTCTTTAATTTATTATTTATTAAACGAATATTATTCGACGCTAGCGAATTTAATAAAATAATTCTTATAATCCCTAGTAAGTCCGATTCTAAAATTAAAGACTTTATAGGCTTTACGTTATAGTAAATACGGGACCTTTACTTAGTTAATATAGTGCTTAAAATTAGTAATAAGCGTTTCGCTTCTTTGTTTAATAATTTGATAGAAGATATTATCAACCGAGCTAATTATATAATAAATAATTTTAAAACCTGTTGTAGTTTTGGATATGTTTATTTCCAATTATTTATTAATGAAGGATAAAAATCCATTACTTTAGGATTATAAAAAAGTATATTAACCTTTATTTAATTTATTAATCTATATAATTAAAGCCCTGTAATAACATAGAACGAGATCCGCGTTCGTTTTGTATCCTTATAGACTTTTTATATTTCTATTAATAATTTAGTAGAAATAATAGGCTATATAGATACTATAGTTCGTAAAATATATTCCTTTATTATTTACTTTATTTAAAAGATAAAGGAATAAAATATTACTATTGTACGTATTAAAAATAAATGTGATATAGTTACTATAGCCTCCTAAGACGGTACTAATCTCTAAGAACGTTTAATAGATATAGAAATTATTTATCGGCAATTAGAAGAAGAATTATATAAAGAATATAAAAAAACTAAGCGTATCCGATTTGTTTATAATAAGTCGTTAGCCGAGATAGTTATCAATTTCAACCTTTAGGTTAATAAGATATTAAGGTTTATATAGAAGGTTTTAACGTATAGTAAACTACGAGCTAAGTAGAGATTGCCCGGCTTAAGGGAAAAGTTAATACCCTAGTAGTTCAATTTAATAATATTAAAATCCGTTTTAAGCCCTAATATTCTACTATTAATAATAAATTTAACAAGCTACGAATTTATATTAATAAGTTAAAATATAATATTAACGCCTTAAAGAATAAGTTGACCCCTTTGTAGGAAGAAAAGAAGACGACCGACCTTCTAGCTAAGTGGAATAGTTGAAAATTTGAAGAAATTGAAGTAGAAATTATTAAATTAAAGAAA